CCGGTGATGGACACAATGCTGCAGCAATACCACCTCGATGTACGAGCGTGTATGTACGGAGAACTCGTACTGGTCAGGTACAGCCCTCGCATATTACGCAGGACTGATGACTTCGTACCTGTATCAGCAGAGCATTAGTAGGTTCTGTTGGCACGATGAATATACCCGTACTGGGCTCCGAGCTGCTGCGTGCCCAATATTAAACACGCAAGTCGGACCTCATCCTCGCCCTTCTTTGTGCCTTTGGGATTTTCACACGATTCCTCTCCCTTCGGATTGTTCCATCTCAGCCTATTGCGCACCTCTCTTTGCCTGATAGACTCCAAGGTTGGCTCGTCCGTCTCCTGGGCGCAAAAAGCGGTTAACACATGACTCGGCCATCCTGACATCCGCTTCGGGACCCTTGAAGTGGGCTTGACCAGGGTAATATTCTGCAGCGGCCACAAGAGGAATTCACTGCCCTCGCCCCCCGTCCATGATTTCTCTCTCGCCTGGCACATACCTGTAGTGCTATTCAGCAATCCTTGCCAGGCCAAGCCCCGTCTCCAGCTGTTCTTTCGTCTATGCTGTGGATGGGTTGAGAGGAGAGCGGCCGGGCCATTCAGCACTTGCAGCCTCTTCTAGCAGGGCCGGTCCGCTCCGTTTCAGGGTCAGATTTCGAATCTTCCTTTTCCTCAGACAGATAGCCGGTGCTCTTCTTTCTCTGACTTGTTGAGACGACGTTTCGACCGACTCCTGCGTCAAACTCTACTTGTCCCGGGGACATATCGGACCGCCGCTTTTGTTCCGCATCCCGCTCGGGGAACAAGTACAAGGTACTCAGTACACCAAGGGAAGCACAAAACTCTCAAAGAGAAAAAACAACACAAGCCAAATTCCAATCCAAAGCCAAAGCAACGCCAAAGCCAAAGCCAAAAAAAGACGCCACGCTCTCGCAAACTCCATCGCCTCGCATGCCCCATTGCCCAAACTATTGCCCACCAGCTGCTGTCGCCTTTCCCTGTGCAGCCTAACTTGCTGCAACCGGCGACCAGCCCTCCCTCCCACACGTTGATCCAAGTTGGCCGAGACGCTTCGCCGCTGCAGCTCAACCGACCTGGACTTTTCATCAAAGGGGGAGCAAAACAGAGCAAAGTCGGGCTTCATCTCTGCAAAGTCGACGTTTAACCCTCTCTGACCGCCAGCCAGTGGCGCGCAGAGTCAGTTCGCCCGAGGGCCGCCCCTTGGCCTCGAGATTGGCATGGACGATAGACGGCCTTCATTAGTTGTTATGACAGAGCCGTCCGGAATGATCCCCCCCGATGAGGTGTGTACGACGAGATTGGACTGTCTATTGTCAACGCTACGGCGGCGATAATAGGCTGGTCAGGCCAACTACTAACACGCGCGCTTGGCATAGTCTGCGGTGTCACCGCCGGATGACTTCGACGAGGTGAGTGGCTTGTTAGATCGTTTGCACATGCCGGGATTCCCTTCTAACCTGACCAGGGTAACGACATCGGAAGCTTCCAGTCCTCATTGACTTCCGTCACCTCATCTATTCTTCATGGCGTCGTGGGCGAAGGCCAGCGCGTCTATGCTGCGTACGGGAAAGAGGGTAATATTCTTCTTCTCTCTTCTTCTACCAGCGTCTCTTTGATTGTCGTTCGCTGGCTGTAAAAAAAATTGTGCTAATGCGACACTGTTTGCACAGAGTATGGACTCCCCATGGATGACCAGGAACTTGACCGCATGGATTTGTGTCACCAGAAATATTTTTCCCTCCTGAAACAGCGGCGTTTTCTATCACCGATCAACGAAAACTCACAGAGGATTCTGGATCTGGGATGCGGTACAGGTAATTCGACTACAAGCCTATTCACCCCATGCTCGCTTGCTGATGTTGTCCTTTTTAAGGAATATGGTGTGTCGAGGTCGCCGATGAGTATCCGGGGGCACAGGTACGACTCTCCTCTGAGCTGAATGCTTGCCGATTAATGCGGAAGGCTGGAACTGACGTCCCTTTCTCCAGGTTGTTGGTGTTGATATTGCCCCTACACAGCCGCAATGGTATGTTGAAAAGAGAGCCACGACTAGCATAACAGCGCTGATGAGTTCGTGAAGGGTACCGCCAAATTGCCAGTTCGAACTCGACGATATCGAACAGACGTGGACGTGGAAGTCTGATAGTGCCGACTTCATCTTTTCTCGAGACCTCATCCTATCGGTGCGAAACTTTCCGAAACTAATCGACCAAGCATACAGGTACGGCAAATTCACCCGGGATCATATCATTATCACAACACTCTCCTCTTTCCAAAGGCTAACGATAATTATAGACATCTTAAACCTGGCGGGTGGATCGAATTCCAGTGTCACACCGGATTACTACAATGCGACGACGGCACTTTGCCTGAAGACAGCACATTTCGGTCCTGGGCAAATCTAACCAAGACGGCATGCGAAAGATACGGCACTCCAGTGGATGACCCGACCCGGTTCAAACAGTGGTTTGAGGAACGAGGATTCGAATGTGTGACAGAGGAGGTGTACAAGATGCCTTGCACGCCTTGGGCCAAGGATAAGCGCCTGAAACTCATTGGAGCCTGGGAGCAACACAACTTGATGAATCACCTGGAGGGCTTGACGATGCGGCTATTCCAAAAGAGTCTGGGCTGGTCAGAAGAGGAGATTCTCGTGATTTCCGCCATGCTGCGAAAGGAGCTGCGCGATCTAGGCGTCCACGCCTACTGGCCGTAGTAAGTCACACATGCTGATGAAGTTTTTCTAATGCGCGCATTTAATTTAGGCTCAAAGAGCGATTTGCTAACGGCCAGCAGCTACGTCGTATACGCACGTAAGCCCATGATGGCATCAGGCCAATAATCGGTTGAGGAATTTTGCCTGCCCTTTTAGCGATTGTCACCGACGACTCTTTCGATGGGCACGGCGGCATGGGTGTTGATGCACCAGAATGCATCGACCAATCAGTCCCTTGGATATGCTGCTTTGGTCACCCGGCCTGAATGAAAGCGGGATAATGAAAGATAAATAACGAATGATGAGGCTTTGAGAAGTCGACTAGTATAACGACACATGCGACCACTTGCTAGTTTGCATATCCAAGGCACGACGCTTGAACGACCTCCACTCGATTCGCCGAATTGCAAGGCCGCACTGACACTGGAGAACTCATCAGTCGTCCTCACCGCTCCACCGCTACTCTGACTACCCCATAAATTCCGCCGAGGTCTGAGGAAACCAAAAGCATCTGGACGCTTCCGGAGAACGCGGATGAAGTACAGCCGAGCGCTACATGGGGCCCTGCTCATATCCCTCACCAAAAAGTGCTCATGGGATTTGCAATACATAACACGCTGCTTGTTTCTACTTATCGATTCTCCAATCACTGTTTTCTCACCGGGGTTCTAGTTTGGGCGTCTGTAATGAGGTAGTATTGATCCTTATTTGAGGAGAGTGGCAAGATGGTGGATTAGGATACATGTACACGATGGAAGGGTAATTATCTTGGCGTTTTCTTTTTTTGTGCTTTTTGAGCGTGTTGCATTGGCATGATCAGCTGCAGAATCAGCAGGGGCATGGGGATCTGGGAGCATTATATTACGACATTTGATCGCACAACCACTTTGCATGTTTCGGTATCGTTTTTTATTGTATAGATGGTTGACCCTTTTTGGACAGGAGTATGACGAGAGCATTCTGAGCAGATATGAATCATGCATCGGTAGCAGAATATACATTTGGCTACGCTGTACATATGTACTCTTCCCTAATAACTGTTGCTGCGGTCCATATTGATGTACTTCTGACGAATGCCGCCAGACGCAGCATCTTTCAGTAGACTTGGGCTTGGGTGAAACATGACCAACGGGATACACGACGCCCAGACCTTGAATGGTCTTGCAGCCCTTTCTCGACTATATTCAAGTAGAATTGTTATTAGTCGCATAACTGTAGTTCTCTGCTAAGTGCATCAACTGCCGTTACACCCTGTTCTGGGTTAATACATTGCTTCCAGGTCCATGACCCTGGAATATATATCGATCATATTAGCTCAGAGACTATATCATCCCGGGACCCCTGAGTTGGCATCCAACTTCGACACCTAGTTCCCTGTGCCAACAACCGGATAAATCGTCCATCTCATGAATCCCCTGGGAGGAACTCGTCCTAGTTTCATGACATGCGATGCTTAGTCTTGATACAAGGAGAGCGTCCCATCGTCATTTTTTATTTTGCTGGGAAGCATGTCATGGGGTGTGATTGGGGCTCATGCCCGGAAAATAACTCTGATGAACTGGATGATGCCGCGAGAGGCTGTGTTTTGGGGGCGGCGGAGGGAAGCCTTGACTTGAGGGGTTGGGAGAGGCTGGGTGGATGTCTGAAAGGGGGAGGGAAGGCCATGAAAGACACTGACGAGTGTTTTGAGGTGGGAGGGAAAAGGAGTGATGGGGGTTATATCTGAGATTTTGCGCCAGACATTGGTGTGTATATGTGCAGGTGAGTTGAACTACCTTGGTGTTGAAGGAAGGATATGTGCGTTTATGATCTTGGGTTGCCTTGGTGTAATGAACCAGAAGGTAGGCGAGCATGGCTTGTTCTTGTTGGCTTCTCCGGAGACTATCATACCGTTTGGAGACCTTGAGTATCAATCATATCAGGAAAGCACACGAAAGCAGTGCTCATTTTCACGTTTCGCGATCTCGGTTATTGGAGCCTGTTTACTGGGGCGGCATCCCTGCTCATTGAAAAGCCAATCTGAGATTCAAAAGCAGATGCTATTTAATACTTTGAGATCTGGAAGCTAGTAAAGTGGTGATTTATCAGAATATCCAAGGATATGCGCCATTGAAAGGATTACAAATTAGGCCGTCATGCGGATGATGTCTCACAAGTGACAAGTCAACTCGCTTCGACAAATAAATGCGCACAAGCCTGGCACACATACATGCATTGTATATGTTCTTGTGATGTAATTGGTCCAGTCGACACCCCGAAACTCACTTCATATATGGGCTGGTTTCCAGCCACGTCCTCACATCTTTCAGTTCTGGGTACTGTCTCCTCAGCGCCTCGATATCCGCAGCATATCCCTCCTTTTCAAAGAACGAAAACATGGTACCCATCTCCTTGGAGGAGGCCAGGAGCAATCTCGCCAGAATGTTCCAAGTAAGGGGGACTCCAGCTCCAGTCTTATCGCGAAAGATTTCAGCCAATTGGTGATAATTGACTTCATCTCCAGCTAGTGAAATCGCTTTTCCTTTGTATTCCTCCGGATGAAGAAACGCCTCGGCCGCGACTTTGCCAATGTCCTCTGTGGCAATGAGCTGGAGGGGCTTCTGTGAGAGTCTCGCCTTTAGAGCGGTGGCAAACAACTTGCCCACGAAACCACCGTCGAGATTTTCCATAAACGCCACGGGTCTGAGGATCGTCCAGGACATGGCATCCTGTGGCTTGGTGGAGTTGATGAGATGGTGTTCGATGTTGTGCTTGCTGAGGAAGTGAGGGATGTTGGTTGGGTTGTTGATGGACTTGTCCCCGTGACGGTCGACAGAGGAGTACACGAAATGCTTTACACCGGCTTTGAGAGCGGAGTCGATGAGAGATATTCCTTGGGCTTGTTCTATAGCTGCACCGCGTGCGCCTCGTTTCGGGACCTTTTTTTCACGTGTAAGTGACATTGGTCATGGCGTTTCATAGATACAAAGTTGTATTTTGTTTAATCACCTGCACGCTAAAGACGCCCCATGGAGATGAATTGCTTAAATAGCTAGCTTGTCCAAAGATGGCATCTGTGTCGTCGAGGTTGCCTTGAAGAAGCGTAACCTTGGGAGAGAGACTCGCGAGCTTCTGAGCCGAGCGGGAAGTTTTGTCACGGGTGACGGCGAGAAGTCTGAAATCAGCGTTCTTGGAAAGGAGGGCTCTGATGGCGGCACCGCCTTGTTTGCCAGTGGCGCCTGTGATGAGGAGAGAGCGAGACATCTCGGTGTTGGTGACCTCGAGGTCGATGGAACTGCTGTGAAACTGTACGACAAGTCTGGGAAATGCGTGGACGTCTAGACAAATAAATACATATTTACTCAAGAAATTTCTTTACATTTCAATTTAACCGTGGGGTGATTCTAGGTGACTTATTCATTCTCATCTAATAGAGCTTGGCTGGTCTTGAAAGAGACTGATTGCTGGTTTGGGCAATATCGAGGGTGGGTAACTCCGCAGGCGGCGGGGCAACAAGTGAGTTCGGCATCCGCAAAGAATGCCGAGGCCGAACGACAAGCGCGCGGCTGTTGAATTGACGAGCGAAGCGGTGTATGAGTAGTCTATGGAGTGAATGGATCGATTATAAAGATCCGTTTGGTCTAAATCCACGTATACTTGTTTTCTCTTTACCGGTAAGGTCGGTTGCAACTCATTCCGAGTGTGTTCATGTAAGTGAGGAACCCAGTACTACTTATTTTTTTTTTTTCATATATCTTCTTCCTCTTCTTATTCCTTTCTACTATATAGAATACATCTATGGTGAAACTTGGCATTAATTCCAAGAGAAGAAATATTCGAGCTTTTTAATATTCCGCTTGCGATTTGGTTGCTTACACCTACTGCTCGAACAGGCACTTCTGCCTGGTATAATGTTATGAAGCTGCCAGTGATAGCTTGACTATTTGCCCTCTCATAATAACGACTTATATAAGGCCTAGCATTAACATGCAAAACACTACAACGGCTGTTATAGTAATATTAAACTCATGAATACATGTAAACTGACGCACTGTTTGTTCTGTCCTTTCAACGTCATACATGGTGTTTTTAAGAAAGACATCCTGAGACCAACGACTGAAGAAGCAAACTTAGATCTATGAAGCTCCTTTCTGTTGCCTGTCACATATCTATTCTCTGCTAAAGTAGCTATTGGACGCATAGTTTGTATCAAACGTCGACGGTTTTCCCCATGTCTTATGTAGCATCCTGTATCCGCTAGTACATCTGAGTGTTTCTAGAGGAAAAAAAGAAGACACAGAATTCAAGTACGAGTATGGGCCCCCTGCAGGGATGTCCCCCAGCCTACCTCAGTTGCTCAGTTAATTCCTGCTTGCATGGAGTCAATGGCTATGCCGTCATTCGTGGAAGGATATGCACTCTAAATTAGCCAGCTCCCGGAGGGGATGAGCTCCGAGACGGGTCTGTCAGCCCTAGGAGATGGGTCATGGGATATGCACAACACTGGACCGCTAATATAGAGGCTGTCCTTATACAGTCCGCATTTTGGCAATACTGCTCGACTCGGCCGTGGCTGACGGAGAAGAGGATCATGATGAGAATAGGGAACGTATATGTGGGAGCACTGACTGATTCCTTCCACCGGATTAAACAAGGACATGTAATCCTTGGTAGCTTCGGCACCGGTAATCGCAGTGATCGGAGGCGAGAAATAGTGCTGATGCTAAGAAAAATCGTCGAGCTGTCAAATGTATATCCCTGCTCTTCGTTTAATTGTCAAAATCCATACCAATCGAAAAGCTATCGGAAAAGGGATCCTTGTGGTGGCATCATACTGTACGAGAACCGGACATTCGTATCCATGGTACATGTACCTTGGTGAGCGACGTAGATGTATGCACAAGGATGCTATTAATACCACTGTCGGCAATAAATAGAATCAAACCGATCCATGCGCCTAAGATGGATCGCAGCCCCGCGTCGTAATTCCCCTGCAGGCCATCTTGAAGCCGGCGATATGGTTGGATGCGTACATGTACATGTACTCCCTGGTGGTGATGCCGGGCTGCCTCGCAATCCGCGGTCCCTGCAATAGGTGTATTGACGGTAATGAAAGCTGACTGTATCATGGAAGTTACAGATACTCGTATCTGTCACGCATAGGCCTTTTCTTCTATTGGCTCGGCGATACGATACTTCAAAGGGCCGGCGGAGATGACAATATAAGAACACGAATAAACATTTTCGAGCTGGTGGCACGACAGCCGATAGGCCGGTTGCTGCAACCTTTCCGTCGCAACTGGAAGTCAATTGCACGAGGTGGCGTCTTGGGGGCAACAAGACGAGATGCTGTCAATTCAGCAGCTTCGAATGCTGGTCCGTCGTATTGCATCGAATGTGTCGTCGTAAATTACGGCCAGAGGAATCGACTCCCTTCAATCCCATCGAATATTGCCATGTCGCATTGAGGATTGTGTCCGTATCTTGGCCGGAAGCCCGATTGCAGCAGCGCCGCTCATTGGCCACTGCGGCGACGCTACGGGGGGCTGCAGGGGCTGGCAGGGGTTGAGGAGGGGCCAAACTCGTGCAGGTGGGCGCTAGCAAGCACAAGCACCCGCTGGAGCACCGCTAACGTGCATCGCGAGGCAGTGCTCGTGCTCAGTGCAAACTGCATCCCGTGGGAGCTGCATGCGGTAGTTGAGTAGATGGTATGGAAGTGACGGTGTTGGAAGTGAGGGGAACATGCATGTAGCTACGACAGCAGAAAAGAATAGATATGTATATAGTAGTATTGATCAGATACTAGGGAGATGCGGCAATATCTGTAGTTGTTGCAAGTATTGATGCATCAGATACTGCAGGTTCTGAATCTACGGCAGCACTCTCGCACATGTAGGTACATGTAGTCAAGGACGGACTGCGCTAAACACACAGAGGCAGCGCGCGACCAAAGCCCCAGCCACTAACTAAACCCGTAACCGTTGAATCCACATGGGCCTTTCACGTTATGAAGCTTCGACAGGTACGAGGACCGACGGCATCCATTTGATCCTTGTTCCACCATCGGCTCATGTTTGGCCAAAAACTCGGGCCTCTGCCACTGACGTACCACAGGCTGTGCTTCCCAACTTCGTCCATCCAACGCGCGCTCGACCATTCCGCACGACGCCGGCGCCTGCTGGGTGTCGCCATACCGAGACCAGCTGCCGCAGCTTAGTGCCGAGCCCTTTTGCCAAGTTCCGATAAGAACCTGGATCCAACAACGTCGACCCGAGAGTTGACGACGACGGACATTCTCGACCTTGTACAAACACCGAGCATTACATCCCCCCCGCGCCGCTCGCATAACATCGACCGCGGCCTGCGACGGCCTGCGATCGCCTCCCCGAGCCAGGCTGAACTGCTCACTGTCAACCATCCTCGAGAAGCAAGCGTCCTCCCCTCTCGCCGGTGACCATGTATCAGGGCAGCCAACGCCATGTCTCGGGCAACGATCCCTCCAGGCCCTTCCAGGTGCCTCCTCCTCCACCGCCTCCTCCAGCCATGGCGCCCTCCATGGTCGGGCCTCAGATGAACATGATGGTGCCGCCTCCCCCGCCGATTCGATATGCTGCTGTGCCTGGGGCAGCCCAGGGCGTCATGATCCCGCCGCCGCCAGGCCCTCCTCCCGGAGGCGGCATGATGCAGGCTCCAAACTGGCACGGCAACTTTGGTCGTCTGTATGATGGTCGGCCGAGTTACGCCGTGCCTCCGCCGCCTCCAACCAACCACCACCAGCCCTATAACCCTAACAAGTTTCACGCCGCGATGCAGGCAATGGCCATACCCCCCCCTCCACGCCAGACCGATGCAATGAGCGCGACGTATATACCGACGGGGGACACATACGGAGAAGGCGTGGGAATACCGGCGTTCGGCCGAGAGGAACCGCAAACTTCGTGGGCGCAGAACGGGACCGACACTGGCACCATGATGTCAATGGATGAAAGACAACAGCAAGCATATATGGGAGCTCAGGCCAAAGGGCCAAACGTACCGAGTGCACCGACAACCGCTACTGCGCCAAGCACCATCCCTCCCGAAATAGCAGCCCAGTGGCCGCTGGACACGGTCCTGTTGTGGCTGGCGCAGAACCAGTTCTCCAAGGACTGGCAAGAGACGTTCAGATCCCTGAACCTCTATGGCGCGCAGTTCTTGGAACTGGGCAGTGCCCACGGCGGACGTGGAAACTTTGGTATGATGCACCAGCGGGTATATCCTCGATTGGCGCAGGAGTGTACCAACAGCGGAACGGGGTGGGATCAGCCGAGAGAGAGAGAGGAGGGAAAGCGAATGCGAAGGTTAATTAGGAGTGTCGTCACTGGCCGCCCCGTCGAAGCTTCCAAAGCCGTCCCCGCCCATGGTCGAAAGGAATCTACAGCTTCCAGCCAACCCTCCAATCTTCCTACTGCTGGCTCAGATGCCGCCGACAATATCGAGTCTCCCATCGTGCCTCCCAACTCCATAGCCGCACGAAGGTTTTCTCAAACCAGATCGACAACGATGCCGCCCGCCAACGGCACTGATGCGAACCACAGGGCAGTTTTGAAAAGCCTCGAACTCGGACGTCAGAGTCCCACTGGCGAACACGCGGCCAGTCCAGGTGGCAGCCCGGCCCCTCAGCCCACACTCTTCCACTCGGCCACCACTCCTATTCTCTCCTCGTCGCCAAGCTCATCCAAGTTTACCCATCGCTCAAGGAATAGTACGGACTCGGCCGCATCCAACGCCGCGATATATGGATCGGGAATTCCGCCAGAGGCAATTGGGCTAATGAATCGAGGCATGAGCTTGGCGGAGTTGATGTCTGCGTCGAGAAGTCAAGACGGCTACTCTAACAGGCATGCCGAATCTCCTTCATCTGCCAAAGACAACAAGAGTTTTCTTAGTTTCCTGTCCAGGAAAAAGCGCCAGCAAGTTGATGGCGCCTTTCCTTCGCCAGATGATCTCGACTCCCCCACTTCACCGGCACTCTATAGGCCCCTGCCGACGGCAACTCATGGGTCCGATGCGAGTGACGCCCACTTGGACACATCTAGCATCACTTCACAGTACAGACCAAAACATCATGTCGCCCAGGGCAGAATATTCGTCTTGGCCACTATGGATTACTGGAACTACCGCATGTGCGATATCACGGAGGCGGAGACTGCCGCGGATATTCGTCAAGCCGTCTGTTTGAACCTCGGTCTTCCCGACATGGAGAGTTCCTTCATATATGCTACCGAACTGGGCCAGTTTGAACACAATGAGCCTCTGGATGATCAAAAGCTTCTAACCACCAAGCGAGTAAAGGCTGATTCTGCGGGGACGCTCAAGTTTTTTGTTACTTCACACAACGCACTAACCCCCAGTCTGAGCAGTGAAGTGCCAACGCTGTTGTCGCCAGATGCCATCCCGCCGGGAATAGATGCAGAGGCGTATGCACGTCTCAATGGACGCCAGAGATCCAGCTCGTCCCCGCCTACGTCTCGATCCAACACGCTCACGTCGGACAAGGTGGATGAGAGTGCCTTGGCTCAGGAGGCGAGCGAGTACAGAGCTGAGTTGGCAAGGAAGCAGCGCGAATATCTTGCAAAGAAAAAGCAGGCTAATATGAAGGAGAGCCCCATTGTGCCGCCCGAGTCCATTGTAGGTTTTGGCATTGTGGGTAGGAATGTTGATTTCGACCAGCCTCGAATGTCGCCGTATGAAGACAGAAAGCCTGAACACCTCTTGCCCCAACGACGGCCACCGGCACCGCCAAGTGATCCGTCCGCAACACTGATCAAGGCGAACTCACTTAGCAAGAAGACGGGACGGCACATGAACGGCAACGCTGCTGAAGGGCATGCAACGCCGCGATACCCTCTGCCATCGTCTGCGTCGCCTGAAGCAGAGGCGTCGGAGAGCGGTAAAAAGCCGTCGCCACAAAAGTTCAATATACCTGCCGCGGGCATGGGCGGCTTCGTAGGCGCGGCATTGGTTGGCATGGGCAGAAATCTGGGGGCTATCGGACAGTCAACGGCCAACGGGCCGCGTGGAGCGTCGCCCAACAGAGTTGCAACACAACCGATCGCAGCCAGCAACGGCTTGCAGCAGCTGCCGATAGGTAAGAAAGCTATGTCTATTGTTAATTTTCGTGAAACTAGCTCGGCTAGGCCAAGTCCTGGCTCGGGCTCTCCCAAAACTCTTACCTGGAGTCCGGGAAACATGTCTTTTGTTGTGCCTGACTATTCACCTGCCCCTTCACCCCCTTTGGCGGCTTCAGTATTAAGCAATGATGAATCAGTTACTAAATTCACCATGATAGGGCAACGGCCGCCGTCCCCTACGGAGCTCAGCCCCAGCTCAACCCGGCCGCCGCCCATGGCAAACCCGTCATCCCCACCCCCTACCAACCCGAAATCCCCCGGCCCAGACCTGGACTTTACTGATACAGACGTCCAATTCACCCAACCACCTGTTACCCAGCAGCCCTCATCTGCCCAAGGCCGTCAGCCGCCTGCCAATGACAGCGACGACGATTCTGACGATGGTTTGTTTGCTATTCCGCTCGCCGGTAGAGCAAAGGGTAAAGAACCAAGTGGCAGGCCAGGACATGCGCAGAAACCTAGCCTGACTGTGAATACTTCGCGGCCAAAGAGCAAAACTCTCTCAGTCACATTTACCTCCCCCAAATCGACAGGTGAAAACGCGGACGATTGGTCCCGGAACGGAAATGGCTCCCGTCGAACTCCTGGAACCCCTGGCTCAGAGACGTGGGAGTCTGACAAGGAAGTCAAACTTGGCCGCCGCAAGTCGTTTATTGAGAAGGATGTATGGGCGAATCGACCTCCCACCGATGATTTGCTCAACAACCTCGACGATTTCTTCCCTAATTACGACCTCGATGAGCCTGTTCTTGAGGATAGCGTCTCGGCCGAGATGACAACCTCTCCAATCCCCGAAGTCGAGGAGTCGCCACAGCAGAGCGCGCCGCCTCCTCTCCAAGCCCCAGCCATGTATCAAGACACCATTAATCCTCCTCCCGCCGTCGCGTCTTCCAATCAATCCATCTATGACGGAGGGGACACGCTTGGCTCTGACGAATCGACATTGAAGGCCCTGGACCGTCGCCCATCCATACAAACAGTGGCTCAAAAGAGCATGAGGCGATCTGGCGGTCTTGGGCGTATGAAGTCCATCCGTGAAGTTGCTCGGGGTGCCCACGAGGCTAACAAACGATTCACGCACGCGCCGCACAACTCGGGCAACGCCACTACTACCGGAATCATGCGCCGAAAGAGCACCAAGATGTTCAACGCAAACATTGTGCAGATTCGGCCAGACCAGCGCGGCGGCATGGTGTTCCCGCGCGACATCCCACAAGATACTTTGCCTAAGCGACAGACGACATTTAGGTGGTTCAAGGGCCAGCTTATTGGTAAGGGTACTTATGGACGCGTTTATCTGGGTATGAATGCCACAACCGGAGAATTCTTGGCCGTCAAGGAAGTGGAAGTCAACCCCAAAGCGGCCGGAGGAGACAAGAGTAAGATGAAGGAACTCGTGGCCGCTCTGGATCACGAAATCGACACGATGCAGCATTTGGACCACGTCAACATTGTACAATACTTGGGGTGCGAGCGAAAGGAAACCAGCATTAGCATCTTCCTAGAATATATTCCTGGTGGCAGCATCGGCTCATGCCTACGCAAGCACGGCAAGTTTGAAGAATCGGTCGTCTCATCCCTCACGCGGCAGACATTATCTGGGCTGGCCTATCTCCATCGAGAAGGCATTTTGCACCGAGACTTGAAGGCGGACAATATTCTACTGGACCTAGATGGAACGTGTAAGATCAGCGATTTCGGCATTTCCAAGAAGACGGATAACATCTACGGCAACGACAAATCAAACAATATGCAGGGATCCGTATTCTGGATGGCACCCGAGGTGATCCGGTCACAAAACGAAGGATACAGCGCCAAGGTGGACATTTGGAGCTTGGGATGCGTCGTGTTGGAGATGTTTGCAGGACGGCGGCCGTGGAGCAAAGAGGAAGCCGTCGGAGCCATCTACAAGATCGCAAACGGAGAGAGGCCCCCAATTCCCGAAGACATCCAGGAGACCATAGGCCCCTTTGCAGTGGCGTTTATGGAGGACTGCTTCCAAGTGTAAGTTTTGAAAAGGGGATCATTTGCAGCGGAGACAAGGTGCTAATGAGGAGTTGCAGGAGTCCATTTGATCGGCCAACAGCCGACGTGCTTCTTTCGCAACATCCGTTCTGCGAGTTGGACTCGCACTACAACTTTTACGACACCGTCTTGTATACGAAGATTAAGGAGACGTATAAGTCGGCGTAAATAACACGTGCAGGGGGCAAGGTGAAAAGGTAGTCGGGTGTGAACGAATGACCTCTTATCCTCGATGCTGTTTTGATAAATCCAAGGACATGTTTGTTGTATATTAAGGGTACGCTTAGCGTTTTGGAACGACCAATGTAACAAGAAGAGCACGGCCGGGATGGCGCCCATGGTTAGGGATGGCGGCGTTTGCTTCCTGTGTTTGCGGTTGCTGGCGACGGACGCCGCGATGAGATGATTTACTCAAAAATGATATGCGCTTTCGATGAGCCATTGGGCTTTGGTTGGCGGGGTTTCTATGCTTTTTCTTGTTTGTCCCCCTTTGTCCTTTGAAAAAATTACTGATACACATCAGAGTTTGTTTTACCTGTCTAAGCGTGCAATACGTGATTATTGTTTTACCATGGGGCTGTGACGCATGCTATGAAGCAAGACTTTACTTGAATGTATACCTTTGAAGAGAGCTATATACAGGAAAACGCAAACAATGTGCCAAATGAGTTATTATGAAGGCATAATGAGAAGGCAACAATGGGGAGCCTCATTCTTTCTTCTCTCTCCCAGGTCCCTCTCTTTCATCCGTACCAAAAACGTAGTCTAGGAGCCCGATTCCGCCATAATACACCTCGAAGCGTTCGTGGTGTCTATCATGTTTCCTAGCCGCTCCCGCAAAGAAATCGTATCCGCTGTGCACCGTCGAAGTCTCGATGAGCTGAAAGGCCACAAACACCCACATGGTCAGGATATGGGACCCCAACAGCAGCGGCGGCAGCAAGATGGGCAGGACGTTGGCCGCGAGGTGCTCCACGGGATGGGCATACTGCGAGGAGAAGGCGACGGGGGCGGTGAACTTGTGGTGCGTCTTGTGGAAGCGCTTGTACAGGGGCCGCCAGTGGAAGATGCGGTGGGAGGTGTAGAAGAGGACTTCGCGGGCGAGGACGCTGAGGGCGAGGTGGGAGGCGAATTCTTGGAGCGGGGGGAAGCGAGGGTCGACTCTGATGCTCGGGGGACGGTTCTTGACGGAGGAGGCGTGGAGGAGGGCGGCGTGGAGGGCGAAGACGATGGTTTGGTTGCGGGTGCAGATGAGGATCGAGTGGAGGATGTCGGCGGAGGAGGGTTGTTTGGGGGCGGGTTGGATTTTGTGGTGGGCGGAGAAGGAGGGGGCGATGGAGTCGAGGCAGATGAAGAGGATGCAGGGAATCCACCAGAAGATGAATTGGATGATGAGGGTGCCGGTGAAGTCGATGGTATGGGGGTCGTGGGTTGTGACGAGGCGGGCCCAGAGGGCTTCTGTGGTGTTGAGGATGGTCATGGCCAGAGGGGGGGATATTTGACAAGGTATAGTAAGAATTGCCTGGGGGATTTTGAGAATCTAGGCTCTCAAGATTTGAAAGAAATTCTTCATGAGAAGAAAGAATGGAAATGTACGGGAGAATATAGTTGTGGATGGTGACTTGCTATTTTATAAGACGAAACGTTGAGCCACCAAGTTGAGTCTTGGACCTGACACACGCATATAGACGGGGGGATGGGATCTTGCCTCGGCTCGTGGGTGAGGGGCAAAGTTGGAAGATGGATTAGGTTAAAAGCAAGAAGAGAAATAAGAAAAGAAAAGAAAAGAAAGGATGGTTCCCGCGTGGAGATGGTGGCTGGAAACGCGGGCCGGTGCTAAAGAAGCTAAAGAAGAAAACTGTCTTGGTCATTTCCCCACGTCTGAGATGGATCTTTTTGGTCTGGGGTAATACTAGCGGAAATACGAAGATGCGTATGATTTGTACGCAAGTTGCCATTGGCTTTGATACGTTGTGATTCTTCCTCGTCTGGTGTCTTTTGTACATGAGCCTCGGCTCACATGCTTACAACCTCAAGACTTGCTGCTAAAAAAAAACTACTTACACCAAAGACTGCTTCACGCCCTCCATCCCCCCTCGAGCCATTCCTGCGCAATCCTATAACTGCCCTCGCGCACATCCCCCGGCACGGTATGTCCCGCCCCGTCCACGGCCACAAACGCCAGCCGGCCGGAGCTCTTCCACGACCCCGTGGCCGCCGTGCTCTCCGGCAGCGCCCGCCACGGCGCCAGGCGGTAGTCGGCGAGGCCGCTCCAGCGCAGGTTCTCGTACGCCCAGATGTTGCCGGGCGTGTTGACGATGTAGTCCTCGTTGCCCTGCAGGACCAGCACGCGGATGTCGCCCAGCTGGGGGGTGAGGTGGGCGTCGAGGATGCGGGCGAGCTCGCGGGTCGTGGTGCGGAAGGGGTCTTTGGAGAGGACGTAGGCGGAGTTGAGGACCATGTCGACGTCTTGGAAGATGTAGGAGGGGGGGAGCTTGAGGGCCTTTTTGATGTGTGGCTGGTTGATGTAGGCCGACATGTTGCCTTTTCTGACGTCTGCGCAGAAGGGCCAGTTGGGACACGGAAGATGGACTGTTTTTTTGCAAAAGATATTAGACAATTACGGTTTCAGACACTTGGAAGAAGCTTGACTCGCCGTTGAACGGATTCCTCTTGCCTGCCTCGACTTCGGCATAGTAATACGGATGCACAACCTCTTCCAGAAACGTCATCATGCCCCAGCACTCGTACCCATCACTGCTGGCGTCGCAGTTCCTCGCCAGCTCAAACGTCTTGGGCACGCTCAGCCTCAGCGCCTCGCACGTCGTGTCGTTCATAATCTTGCCGTGGTGGCCGTACCCTTTGCACAGGAACTCGTACACGCCCACCGCGGGGGCGGCAAAGTCGACGACGGCGTCGACCAGGATCAGCGAAGTGATGTTGCCGCGGAAGGCATCGCGAGAGTTGAACCTCCGCGAGTCCAGGATATGATTTAGATAGGTCGGGCCGTAGTGGCCGCCGTAGGACTCCGCGGCGATGTGGATGGGCAGGCGGGCGCGGTCGGGGAAGATTTCGCCGAAGAAGATGTTGAGGAAGGTCTGGAAGTCGGAGGCGCCGTCGAGGTCGTATGCTTGGATGGGAGAGTCTCGGGAGCGGGACGACAAACCGACGCCGGCGGGTTGGTCCAGGAAGAGCACCGAAGCGTTGTTGTTCCAGGCAAAGTCGTTTGGGACCGTGGTGTTTGCGCCGGCCTCGAGCCAGCACGCTCCCAGCTCGTTGAAGAGGCCCAGCATGGAGCTGCCGCCGGGCCCTCCGTTCATCCAGACAACGACGGGGTCGTTGACGGGGTCGTTGCGGCTGTCGAAGAACCAGAAGAAGAGGCGGTGCGAGTCCGTCACGTCGACGGTGCCGGTCCATTGAGATTCGCCGTACGTGGCACATGTAGAGTCGTCTTGTGGTGTCAGAGTGAATTGGCCGGCCTTGAAGGCAGGGACATTGTCTGATGAAGAGGCCGTTCCCATGTTTGAGCCGGTCAATGGCTGCTGCTCGCCGAGTCCGAAGCTTTGAAGTTGGGCTTTGGCAGAAGGGCCCAGAGCGTGCTGCTTGGCCGCAAAGAACGGGGGAAGCCGTAGATGAGCTGTCGCGCTGCCTGCGAGCAGGATGCCCGAGGCAATGGCGCCTTTGGAGATGATCATGGTGAAGCTGAGAGCTGGAGTTGTATGGAACTCATCAACTCTTCACTCTTTGCGAACTAGTCTGCCTTCTGCTGTATAACTGGATTGGCCCAATCAACCACCATTCAAGTCAAAGATGAATTGAATCTCTTGAACGAGATGAGGCGATTGCGTGAGATTATCAATGAATTGTCCCAGCGGGGTTCGTCTACTGTACCCGATTCCTTCGCGTCATCTCCAAGCCGTCGCGAGTTCTAGACGCATGCATATTGTCCCTGTAATCACATATCGCAAATCCTACGACGGGTATCTCCTCCGTACTATGGCAAATGGGTACATGCAGCGTTTGCCGTTACGGGACGGCTCCGGACGGGGTTCTTTTGTAGCCTCGGAATCCAATGGCGGGAATAACAAAATCCGCATCGCATGTGAAGCTGAAGCTGAAGCTGAAGCTGGCTAGGAACTTTTGCTACTTTTACTGTCAATTGAAATTGCATCTACTGAAGAGTCTGTCATGTTTGCCAAATTCCACTTGTTACATCTACAAACTCAATCATCACTGAGTCATCACCAAACACATTACACCGCAGTTGATGAAAAGACATCATATATTCCGTTACTTCAAACTCTTTGATATATCCAATATGTATATATAAGCCTTCATGCCAAATACCCAGATCCATAAGCCACATATAAAAAAAAATAACAGCATCAACCAGCTGTAGCCAATACAACCCTTTGTCATTAAATCAAAACAGCGAAGCATTCTACAAAAAAATGTCCAAAGAAGTCATCTTTCATCCGTTCATTCATTAATTCATGACGTCGTTGTCTCACAACAACCTCGCAACGCTCAAGTCAGGGTCGCCAGCATGGCTCGCATAATTCCAGGCGATGGTCCTGTACAGTCCAGGTCAGCTGCCTGCCCCCAAAGAAACGACAAAAAGCAAGAGGGAATTATCAATGGCGCGGCGCACCTTCATCGGTATTTTGGCACGCTGATGGACATCCTACCTTTCTTGTCCTTCTCGATACGCGCCGGCTTGTGGGACGCAAACCTCTCCACCTGCTCCTCGTAGACGATGAGCTCGCCGTTGGGAAGTCTCTCGGTCCGGACAATCTCCTTCTCGCCAACTTCACGTCTTCGTCCATGCGATAGCTCCTTCTCCAGGGCTCGGATCTCGGCGCGGATATCTTTGCCGCTTCGCGATCGTGATCGATGACGCTCCACCAGCTGGTACTCGCTGCTGCTGCTATGGTGGTGGTGGTGGTGAGAGTGAGAGCGGGAGCGGCTTCTGCTGCTCACCGTTGGCGACATATCACGGTACACCGTCTTGTCGATCAGCTCAACATCGCGCGGGGTAGCCTCAATGATGACGGGGGCCGGTGGAGGAGGCGCGGGGATGATGATGGCCTGTGAAGTCGGGGGAGGATAAAGGTGAGGCTGAGGGGGGTGATGATGATGAGCCGGGGTTTCGATGATGAGCTCTTCTCGGCGCTCTCGAACATGAACTGGAGTGTCGATGATGAGCTCTTCCCTGCGCTCCCGAACGATTTCACCAGCTGAGGACCGGGCCGCAGAAATTTCAAGTTCGCCTTTGGTATCCGGATTAGTATCAAGCAACCCATCGCAAGACTGCTCAAGGAGAACTAGACTCACTGGCTTTGTACTCCTCACTGAGCTTGAGTAAATGATCAATGTTGGCCTGTCCCAGGGCCTTTTGAACAACAACGACATTCCCCTATTGACCATTTGGTTAGACTTCGTACAAACACTTACACTTGTTTAGCAATCATATTCAGAGACATACCTCTTCGATAAAGGGATAGCCAATATCAATCAAAGCACGCTTAGACACGAGCCTGGCGGGAATTCTCGTCTTTCCCTTCTTCGGGTATTCGCTCTTGACGCTCTTAAGCGTGGTGCCACCGCTGCTGCTGCTGCTGCTGCTGCTGCTGGAAGACCGGGTCGAGGACTTGGATGCTCGCGATCTTCCCCGGTGGCTCTTCTTGGTGGAACGAGAGTCTCGGCTCCTGCTACGCTTCTCCTTTTCCTTCTCCTTCTCCTTCTCGCGGATAATCTCTCGCTCAACAATGCGCTCGGTGGGATAGCGCTGGACACCTTCTTCGATGCGATCATGTTCAACGTGGATGTCCTCGTAAAAGCGCTCATCATATCGCCGAGCCGGCGGCAGGCCTCGAGCCTTGGGTAACGGGATAGGTGTGTACGACGGGGCCCGGTATTCCTCGCGGTACTCTTCTCGGCGAATATCCTCGCGCCGGGCCGGCGGCGGCAACTCTTCGCGTTGGTCAAAGAACTTGGGGAGCGGGCGGCGGTCATAGGTATCGAGCGATGACTGACGGCGTACCATAGTCGGGCGCCGCGGCGAAGAGTCGCGGTAGTATTCGCGATCGCGCTCTTTCTCCAATACGATGCGCTCTCCGCGAGGCGGCTCGGGCCGGCGACCGAAGCGGGCATCATCTTCGTAGAACCGGCGGTCACGGACAAGATCGTCTTCGTAGGATGTTCTTCCGCTTCCGTACAGCCGGTCAAATCGGTCGGCGGACTGCTCTCGGGGGCCTCGTCCGCCGGCCATGAAAAGTCGATCCTCCTCGACAAAGCGTTCCCTCGAATGAACCCTGTCTCTATCGCCACCGAGGCGATCTCGTTCCCAGCGATCTCCGCGACTAGCCATGGTGAAATCTGGAGCAATCAAAAATCTGTACGAGGCTTCCTTGGCTGTTGAGTGGCTGTTCGGTCTAGCCGCCCGTAATAAACAGGAAGCAGCGGAACAAAGAACAGTGTCGCTCTCTTTGTCTGATAGCAATAGCTCCGTGAAACTACTGGCCGCAAACAAACTATTCCGGGCTCGTCCTGATGCTATAAAAGGATGAAAGAAGATGGTGAGACTGAAAGCAAGGGCCAAGGCCAACCGGTTATATGAAACAACCCTCTTTCTGGGCCAGCAGCAAGTGGGCGATGACGTTGGTGTGCTGAGCCCCGCTTGAGGCCTTCCACTCGGTTCCAAGTTTTGGACAGGGGATGCTGGTACGAACAAGCCCAAAGCTGAGACTTGCAGCAGCCAAGAGAGATGATGCTAGTGGCCAGAGAGGCCCCGTGATAAGCCACAGGTGAGGTCACGGACAGGGGCAAGAGGATCAAATGGTTCGCTGAGGTTCGCGTGAGGGAGCCGGGCCAAGGGTGGCTCTCGTGATGCCGGGAGGGAATGTGATGTGGCTGGTGAGATGTGAGGGCTCAGGTGTTGCGGCCTCTCTGGAGTCATTCCCAACAAAGGATTGATGGCTTGCTCAGGTACTAATTATAATTACTATTGTAACTATACGAGACGGACAAAGAGAAGACAGATATAGACTCTATGGACACCAGGGGCCCTTCCTCATGTGGCTCTGTAAGGGGATGAACCCGCGATCATTTTTTGTGTTCAGGTGAGGGGCCCCTGGTGACGTTTTCGTGAAGACATTGGGCGACTGCAAGACTTCCCCCCCACTGGCGTCGCTGGGCCTGTAAAAATCAAATCAAGGCTTTTTAGCTGCATGCTCTGCCCGACAGAAAAACCCACTTGCATCAACAAAGGCTGTGCTTTATGTAGAGCGAGGGTTTGAAAAAGTTGAACGGTCAAGACGGTGTAAATGGGCCCAACGGCAGAGAATGACTCTCAAGGCATCATCCACAACAATTGCGACCAAGTGCCCCCAAACCAGACGACAAGGCATACATGGGACTCGATCGACGGATGATGCTGCCTACCTGACCCGACAGACATTGCTCACAACATGTCCCAGCCCGATACGACAATACAGCAGTGCAGTCACTTGTCAACAAATATGTGCCCAGCTGTCCAAGCCCACAGGTCATTAACTCAATCATCACTAGGTGCCTCGAGTAGCCCCCAATAATACTCCGTAGTCTGTCCCTCTCCATCAGCACAGCCATCGCCTCCTGCGTTGGCGAGCCCCGAGCCGGGACACGGCATTTTGCCATTGGGCCGGCATCAACGATCTGACATCCGTGCTCCCGTCCCACCGCATCAGGTCCCTTGCTTCTTTTTTTTTTTTTTTTTTTCTCCTTTTTTTTTGGTTTCTCGGGCTGTGCTGTGCCCTTGATCACCAACTAAGACGGGCCAAGCCTGGATCAAATGCATTGGTGCCCGTGGTATCAGGCCATCTTAGAGGCAACGCTTGGCCGACCAAGGGAGGGTAAAGAAGAAAGAACGACGAAAAAAAAAGAGGAGGTGAGAGGAAATGAAAGGAAAATTCAGACACGCTTGCGCTCTTTGTTCAACCGTCATGTGTGAACGAACGTGCATTTACGGGACCTGACATCGAATGTGCAGATTTCCGTTTCCGGTAGGTACAAGCAGCTACACTGAGGGAGCAGTGCGAGAAAAAGTACCTGCACCCGGATCACGCTCGACTTACACGGCCATCGCATTGCGAGCATGTAAACGGACTCGTAACAATGGCTGAAAAATTCACGCTACGATGGAAGAAACATGTCACCAGGTCACCTGGCGAAAAGAAGTATTTCTCAATCGTAATTGTGGGCTGTGGTGACAGGTATGTACATACATGTATGTATCCAAGTTGTGGTGTCATGTACCAACACGCAGTCTTTCATCAACCCTTTTGTTCATTCATCTCATTTCATCTCGTGCATCATTCATTCAATTGCAATATCCAAAGTATAGATCATGCATTCCAACCCTAATCAAGCCAAATCCTCTCATTTTCAATCAGCGTCACGCTTAGCAGCCAGCATAGATGGCGTTGGCAAAGAGCGCATAAGTATCGGCGTGGTTGAGGTTCTGCGCGGCAGACAGACTGCGCACAAAGTTGTATCCGTATCCGTTGTAGTCCTGAGTGCCCTTGACTTGGCTCAAGTGCGTAATCTCGTGGATGTTGGTGGTGGCCTGGTCCTGAGCGTGGCAGGATCGGGTCAGCGCGGGGAGAGCCGTGAAGTAGAGGTTGCAGTAGACCATCAGGCTGGAGCTGGGGAGCGTGTAAGCCAGCACGTTGGAGGAGCACGAGCTGAGGACGTCGGAGCAGTAGTAGCTGGCGACGCCGCTGCTGGTCGAGCTGCACTCGGAGAGCACGCGGCTGAAGACGCCGGAGACGGTGCTTCGCACGCTGCTGGTGGAAGATTTGAAGTACTCGGTGAGCTTGGCGGCAGAGCCAGAGGCGGCGGCTTGCTGGGCGAGCTGGGCAACGGAAGCACAGTTGCGGAGAGCCGCCTGAGTGACAGACAGCTTGCTGCCGGTGCAGTCGCTCTGGACGCGGGTGCGCTTCTGGTGAAAGGCAACGCGGCGGGCAGAGGCATCTGCGCCGTCGACTTCAATCTCAATCTTGTTGGTCTCGAACGGCACAGAGCCGACGAGCTCGTTGGACTCTTCTTGGGCAAAGGAGAAGGCACCAACGGACTGGATGTCGTATTTGCCGCCAATGGAGAGGTCGTGGGCCTCGGCAATGTCAAAGGTCACCTCGATTGACTCTCCGGCAGCGATGTGCTGGAAGGCATCCTCAGCCAGGTTCTGAGTAGAGATGCGCTGACGAACACCGTCAAAGGCGACGACGTGCTCTTAGTATGATGTTAGCAACGTCATGTTTATGGGAAATATCCAAGGGGTTATGAGGACACATACCGCCAGAGCTGATTGTGACCTTCTCAACGGGGGCGCTGTCCAGGATGGTACCGGTCTTGAAGATCTTCAAGTTGTTCTTGCCCGTGTTGGTAATGACAGCCTTGATTTCAGCGTTGCCAGCACCCTCGAGCTTGATGTCGAGGGGAGTCGGGGCCTTGCCAGGGGCGGCAGAGGCCAAGGCGGCGAGGGCAATGAGACCAGAGATGAACTTCATTTTGAGAGCAGACAGATGTGAGGATTGAATGAGATGCTTGGAGACAATGAAGAGATGCCATATCCAAGAGTGGCGATGAGTAAACCTATTTATACTTGAAAGTCGACATGATAATGAAGACTCTGAGCTCAAAGAGCATCATCAAGACTGGTGCAATGTCCATCTCGTTTGGACAGCCGATCAAAAGTTCTTCTCACCCATGGCCATATCCCCATCATCAATCTCCAGTCAACGGCAAGCAACGGCCAACCTACTTACACAGCCTCTCAACCTCGTCCACCAGATTGGTCCTGCTTCCACTCATGTAATGTCGTAATCTGGGGTTTACACGAAAGATAGAGCATGTTTGCACACCCAATCCAAACCGAGCTGCCTTATTAGGTACGGCATCCGTTGGCAGAATGGCGAAATAGCAAGGTGAGGCATGCTCAATTGCCAACCATTCACGCCCGAATGCCACCGTATCCATCGTATCGGCAGTGTTCTCAGGGAATTATCCCTTTGTTTACTCGTCAACAAGTCTGATTGGATCTATAAGATTCTCATGGCATCACGGTATCTATTTGCGTCAAGATACAATTGTTCGATAACAATCTTACAAAGATCGTGACTCTTCCCAGGTTCATTATTTCGCGTCTCAACGTCACATTTCGTTTCGTCTGGGTGAGCCCCATACGCGGAAATCGGCGGCTTCCTCTCATATGCAAGTAACAAGCGCCCTGATGGTAGAAAGGCATTTAGCCTCAGTGTTCAAATCAACTACAAACGACGGCCCGGTGCCGAGATGCGGACTCAAAGCAACATGAATACACGTTCCGGCCAGTAGTAGGGCGTTGCTCCCCCTCAACGCCAAGCGATAAGCGTGAGACAGGGCCTGAACAGCTTCCAAAAAGGTCGAAAATCCCCGGTGTGCTGGAACTCTGGGATATATGGCTGAAAGTGGACGGTTGTGTTGTATTTCGTGTCGCCCTCAGACATGCAACGGCAGCATCTTGGCGTCTCTGCCGACGTTTATGCCAAGGACGGGATTGATGTTTCTTATCATCGGTACATGTTTGCTCCGTTGATTGAGGATCCAATTTGGCGATTGCGCTACGTGCTATACGAGGTTAGTGTAAGAAGACTAGAAGACGAGAGATGTGCATATGATGAAGATGTATGTCCTGTTCAGAAAGGGCACCTATCTCTTCAACGTATGGAGTTGACAACCTCGTATTGCTTTGTTGAGGATCTGGTGACTCTCCACCGAGAGAAATCCGAGAGTGAGAGATTTTGGAGCAATCCCTTGGTTAGATTCTTGGCGTCCATTTCGCCTGCATATAATTTGCATTCGTCAAGGATAATTGCCATACTGTCAGACACTGGGGGACCGCCGACGTGCGCAGCCGATCTCGCCAGTCCGGCTCGATCGGGTAGCATTGAAGGCGTGTTTAGCCCGCGTAATTGTAAGCTTGCTCAGACGCTTAATTGGTGAACCTGATGACCTTCCTCTTCCGGGCTTTCCCAAGTACCGGAGCCGTGGTTTTTGGCGATAGTAGATGGCAAATCCCGTGGTGTGCAAGGTCTTGGCCGGGAGATATTCCCAACAGGGAAGCTCGCCCGTTGGAGATGCGGTGCAGCCAAGCCTTTGCGATATCTATTTTATTTGTAGGGTGGAATACATGGACTCGTAGTTGATAGGACAAGACAAATCATGTAGATGATCTTGCCGCCTGGGAACTTGAACCAACAATCCTTGGCAGTGATCATCATTATGGTCCTCTGAACGGCTACTCCGGACATAGCCTCTCCTCGTCTAGCTAAGAGACTGTAGCGAGTCTCGTCACTCAAGTCTCGGAGTCTCATCAACAATGTTAGGAATTGTGTGATGGTATCTTAGAGTTATCTTTGGATCATTCAATCAAGATATAATTAGCCAATATACCGAACGCCTCGGCAGCTCGCTGCGGAATCGATCTTGGCCATGCCTTGACTCCACCTGCTAAAGATTAAGAATCGGCCCCAAGACAAGCATAACGTAAGGTTATGAATAAACATCAAACTTTGAACCCTGTTTCCAGCTCTGTGTTGGAGCACTATTCCCGTAATTAATGCACAAAAGTGCCTCGCATAGTGCTGAGTTGCCTAAAGTAGAAGCTGGGGATGATGGCTTGAACAAAGAACTCTAACCCGGAGGCGACCGTCCGAAAGGCGTACGAGACGCATGTCGAGAGTAGTCAAGCGAGATGTTTTGCTCTCTATCATGCTCGTATCTTTATACGACGGTTTACTGGCTCTTCTGTAGATTCGGTAGCAGTTTAGGATTGGTGTTGTTGATCGGCTTGAATCTTTATCCAAGTATAGGTAGAGATAGGGGTCTTGTTTCGGAGAGGAACATGTCGGTCAATCATCTCGCACACAGTCAATGACACGGCTCATGTTGCCAGCGGACATGAGACATCCGGTCGATGAGCGTCATCAGTCTCAGGCACCACCCCGCTTCCAAGCCATAGCACACGCATTCACCCTGTTTGCCAAGTTTCCAACCATGTTTGTAAATCCATGAACGGTCAGTTTCCTGCTTTCTTCACTTAACCTATTCATTTGATACCCCGACGTCTCATTTCCGATGAGCCACGCCTATTATCCAAGTATTCGCGCCATCTTTGGATTGAGCCTGGTTCTTACATTTGCTAAATTCTTTCTATGGCCAGCAGCTTCAATGGAGAGCCACAGCAGCAACTCCAGTCCCATCGACCGTCTCCGCGTGACTATTGAGCAGACCAAAACATCTCCTCTCACCATCACCAGCACGGTCGTCAATGGAAATACACATCCAATCACTTTTCTCTTATACAACTCGCCGCTAGACACTCTTGCACCAACTATCGGCCTGCTTACCATCACTCCTGACGGCACTCTACAGCCTCTCGAATTGCCCGAGATTCAGGTTCGCAGAGAATGGCCTCCCAGCCCTGATTCACTCATTCAACTCGGTCCTGGAGCAAGCCAAACAGCAAAAATTGTCCTCAAGGATTTCATCACTTCGCAACTTGACAAAAAGGCATCAGTTGTTCTCAAAGGCCATTGGGACATGGTATGGGCCAAGCAGAAAGATGACATAACGGTCGACATGATAGAGCAGGCTCAGGCACAGCCGAATCCAGACATGTTTACTGGCAGCTTCGCGACTGAGAGTTTAGAAATAAGTACTGTCTAGAAAATGAATGAATCCAATAGCGCTCATGATCTGCTCTCACTCTCACTGCATCATACAAGCGATTTGATATGAACCACGTGATGATGAGTGAATCAATGTGCCGTTGCTTTGATGAAATTGAAGCTGCTTTTAGCCCACCACTGACAAGGCACTTGAGCTTGGGCGGCGCGTTTCAGCGCTAGCATCAAATGTCACTCTCAACAGCGCGATTGTTAGTGCGTCAAAGAGCTGCAAATTCCATGCAAGTTTCATCAAAGCAACATTGAAGCTACCGAATGAAAGTTCACAGTCAAAGAATATCGACAAATGCGCGCATTCATTGTTCACCATGTCACATAATCCGTCCTTTGATGTAGATGAAGCATTATTTCAAGCTTCCCATCCGCCCTCGCCTGCGACCATTCCCACTACAGTAGATCTTGATCAAATCTCATCTCTACCTCATCTCTCTGTTGGACGATGATGCCTGAAAAAACCGTCTCCTCAGAGACGCCAATGCCCACGGGCTACGGATTTCTCAAGAAGGGCAATCCCTTCATGACAGCGCTCTGCCGCAAAGAAACCCACGCCGCCAAAAAGACGCTGTATGTTGTGACGAAATGCGGCAAACAAGAAGGACTGAGAGCGCCCATACGGGTTCTACGGCATGTCCGCTCAGAGGAGAAGAAGACTCGCGAAAAGAGACGTGGCGCTGTCCAACGGCGCGATGCAGCTACCGAAGATGCATTTGAAGCAGCTACTCTGAAGCTTTTCCCCAAGATTCCAAAGCAGGATCTTACCACAATCCTCAAGCGCACTCTCAGGAAACGGAGCGGCCGGGTCGGCCGTACGGGAAAGTTGGATCTGGACAAGAAGGCATATCTAGCAGTTCAGGCGCATGCTCGACACTGCCACACAGACTACGACAAGCTCCTCAAACAAGCATCTCAAGGCCGGGACGCCGCCAGGAGAGCTATTCGGGACAAGGTGTCCAGGCTCTTGATAGAATGGGGTGGCGATCCAACAACGGTGGCATCGGGAGGCAACCTTGGCCACAAGAACCCCAAGAGGGAGCCCCGGAAGAGTCTGGCAGTCCGAACACATCAAGCTAGGAGACGGCGCGCGTCCTTTACAAAGCCTGTACTCGTACGGCACAAGCATATGCCAGCGCTCAAACAGCTCTCGAAACAGAGCCGAGCTCCAAAGGAGAACGAGGCACGGCCGCAGCCGCAGCCGCAGCCACAGCCAGACGTCATTGATTTGACGCAAGACTCAGATGAGCCCGAGGAAAGCGGATCGACAAGTCAAGCATTTTCCGAGGGCGAGTGCCAGGATGCTGGCGACGGCTCATATGAGCTGTCCGATGTGGTGGATTCTGACGGAGATTATGAGGTAGACAGCGACTGGCTGCCAGAATGACGGACGCTGTGCTCGGCACTTGTCGTGGGACATGTACAAATACCGAGTTGGATTAACACGGGTCGATGGATTAGTACCTCTAAGCAAGCGATTGGATAGTTTATTGCGTTTTTGGTTGTGTTGATTTCTCATTATTAGCAAAGCAAGGTAGAATTGAATGAATTGAATTAATCGTCGGTTTCAACAAATCTGTCCAAAAGACCGCTGGCCCCATACTAATTTACTATTGACCTGACAGAGAGAGAATAGATGGCAGAACATACGGAATCCTCATTTGTTCAAGACTTATCCAACCTGCACTCCCAGAGTACCTTCATGTGCATCCCTAATACTTGGTACCTCGAGCCTTCAAAAAGCATTGACTGGACATCAAACATTGATTCTCCCAGCTTGAGGGCTTCATGTACCGGTACATGTACCTAGCACAACACAGTACAGGGCTTGCCAGGGCTGCTATAGCGCAACTGCCACGCGCCTTAGGGCCCTTTTAGTGCTGTTCCTCTCCCGCCTCTAGCCTGTTCCTAGCGCTGGGATAAATTAACCCCACGTGATAGCCAGCTCCTGGTCACTCCCCTGACTGGGATGAGCTGCCGCAATTCTAAATTGATGACAATGCACGTAATCTAGCAACTCGTTTCCCGGCAGCTGGGACTCTGTCTCTTCGTCTTTTTTCCTCCTTCTCCTCACACGCGCAGTGTGCTGTTCTTCAGTCGCTCCTTTTTTGAGACATTGCTCGCTTTGCTCTACATTCCGTCATTTGTTGACACTTACATTCGTTACACACATTCACCCTTGGCTCGTGTCGTCTTGACAAGAGTCCCAGTTGCCCCTCCTCTCGACACCAGACCTTGCATGATCGATCAAATCGACACTCGAAACTCACCCTAGTTCAACAGGCCATCACCAATCCAGCTGCCAACTACGGAGTGCAAGGGACTCATGTGAAGATGGACAACTCCCAGAGACGACTTAGCGGCATCCCTCGCCCTTCCCGACTCCCTCGTCCCGTCTCCGGCATCGTCCAGCCGGCTCCGGCTCCGGCTCCGGCTTCCAGCTCCACGTCGTCGCTTCGCCCAAGGCCCTCCCGAGACAGCCTAGCAGGAGATACATCGAGTGGCACGGAGATCCAGAACCCAAAGCTGCGAGGTTCTGCTTCTCGTGGCCAATTACGCCCCTCTGCCAGTACAAGCAGCGGGCGTGCGCCGGCCTTGCGCAACTCTACGTCCAGTAACCAACTTCGCTCTAGTTCTTCCCGCGCTCCCGCTCCCAAACCCGCTGCCCCAGTGTCGAAGCCCGTACGAGCCGTATCGTCGTCATCGCGAAGATGGAGCACAGTCACCAACGCCCCGGCAGCGCAGTACAAGCCCTGGGCAGAACCAGCAGAATCCGATAGGGGCTTGTTTGACACGGAGGCAGGCTCTACAGAGGCGTCCAATGATATCCTCATCTCATACTTGAATGATTCTGCCGGCGTACCAGATCAAGTTGACAATAACGCATCTCCGCTCTCCTCTCCGGGGTGGAGCATGCCTCAGATCAACACACCGAAACCTTCACTATCCGAGCGCACTATTGAGACTTTGTCGCAGCTGCCCTCGTCTCCTGCTCTGAGCAAGAAATCTTCGTCATTCTTTGATTCGGGACGACCTTTATCACGAGCCGAAAGCTCAGCCTCAAGGCCAAGCTCCAGCTACACTTCTGACGGGTCCGCAAGACATCCGTCTCGCCCAGGCTCAAGTGCGGCTGACGACTCGGCCTTCTCGAATCCCAGAATGTCATCAGCCAATCTATTCAAGAGAAATTCAATCGTTCATAATGATAGAGCCCCAGGCGCCGTCTCTAGCAGTACACGAGGACTACGTCCTGCTAGCCGTGCTTCCGGGGCGGCCTCAAAGCCATCTGCTTCCATGCCGGATGTCAGAAGCCCAAGTCCAAACACGATGCGCAAAGCACCAGCCAAGCCGGCCCAGAAGCCGGTCCAGAAGCCGGCAGCAAAGACTTTGAAGCAAAGGGCATCAGTTCAGGGTCTTGGCAAGAAGCCATCGATGCAAGCCCTAGATGCCAGCGACAATGCGCGAGTTCCCATCTCCTCCTGGGACGGCACTATCGCGCCAGCCGCTACGGCGGTGAAAGAGGATGCTAAGCCGGAACAGCCAGCTCAAAAGTCCTCATCGGCGCTTCGGGATCAGATCGCCAAGGCAAAAGCTGCCAAGAAGGCGGCTATGAAGCAGGCTCCGGCACAGACGGCCAGTGCAACATCTACGACTGATGATTTCGCAGCGATTCCGGCAAAGAACGGGTTCGATTACAATGCAGCATTTGATGACCCATTCAACATGAATAAGGGACAGGATGCTGGCGAAAAAGTGCTGAAGCAACGTATCGGAGCAGCAAGAACTAGTGGCAAACTGAACATCGCCGCGTTAGGACTAAAAGAGATTCCCAGCGAGGTCGTGAAAATGTATGATCTGGAGACCATCGGAGCCGGTGAAAGCTGGGCAGAAAGTGTCGAGTTGACCAGGCTGGTTGGTGCGGATAATGAGATAGAAACGCTGGACGACGCCATGTTCCCTGACCGCAGCCCCGAAGAGCTCGAAAACGACGAAGAGGGCCGTGGCAACATTTTCGGAGGACTCGAGACTCTCGACATGCATGGCAATCGGCTGCTAGCCATTCCCATGGGGTTCCGCCGCTTCACCCAGTTGACCACTCTCAATCTGGTGAGTATCTCCGTGGCGTTGATGTTTTTCGGGGTCATTTATTCACACTTTTTAGTCGTCTAATCGCCTAGAAAATGGATGCCTTGAAATCATCGCCCAGATGACGGCGATCCGCGATCTCAAATTGGCAAACAACCTCCTGGTTGGCGCGTTGGACTCGGGCCTCGCGGATCTGAGCGCCCTGGAGGTTCTCGATATACACAAAAACCAAGTCTCTGCCCTACCGCCCAACGTTGAGGGCCTTTCTCGGCTGCGCGTCCTCAACCTGAGCGAGAATAACTTTGAATCGCTTCCCTTCGAGGGGCTCTCAAAGCTCCCGCTCGCCGAGCTCGATTTGAAGAAGAACAAGCTTTTGGGCACCCTGATCGATGGATCGATTGGTTCTCTACCAATGCTTCAATCTCTCGATATCTCGGTGAACAGACTGACGCGTCTCGTGCCCGCCGATGCTTCAATCAGACTTCCCGTTGTCCACACCCTCACCCTCTCAATGAATCGACTGCAGGAGCTCCCAGACATGACTTCGTGGACAAGTCTTGTAAACCTTGCGGCAGATGCGAACAACATCTCCAGCATCCCCCTGAGCTTTACCAGCCTCGAAAAGGTGCGACAGGCCGACTTTTCCAGCAACGACATTCGGGTAGTCCCACCTGAGATTTCTCGGATGGACAGCCTGACTCTGCTTCGGCTTAGCGGTAACCCGCTGCGTGACAAGAAGTTTGCTTCGGCCCCGACAGATGAGATCAAGGAAGCGCTGTCGACAAGGCTGGAGCCTCCTCCCCCATACGAGGAGCCAGTCGTTCAGGCACCCATCCCCACCATAATCAGTCCACCGGAAACGGAGAAGAAGCAACAGCCGGACAAGTTGTCGGCTATCCACCCCGAGGACACGGACAGCAGATCAGAAGGCGATGATGATTTTGCCACGCCTCCGACATCTGCACCCCATTCGCCTACCAGGTCCCGCGCTCAGACAGTAGAAGTACAAGAAACCTGGCAGGTCAAGCCGGGAGGACTCCTGGACCGGTCACGCACCGAATCGTCTTCCCTGAGCCCGGAAATGTGCGCCGAACTGTCGAGGAGCTATCAGATAAGACAGGCGCAGCTTCATCACAATCTCCTGAGCGCGTTCCCCGGATCTTTACAGTTCTTCTCGCAAACCCTGACGTCTCTATCACTGGGCCACAACAAAATCTCGGGAGAGGACTACCTAACAGAAGAGCTGAGTTTGCCAGTTCTGACGGAATTGAACTTGAGCTCGAATACCATCAGCAGCCTAGGTCCGTTGACAAAATTCCTTAAAGCACCCGCACTGGAAAAGATTGACGTTTCGCTCAATCGCCTAACCGCGCTCCCGCTCGATCTGAAGCAGAGCTTCCCCAGCTTAAAGGTACTGCTTGCGTCAAACAACCAACTAACCGAGCTTGATCCAGCTGCCATCAAGGGCCTCAAAGTGGTTGATGTGTCGAGCAATGAGATTGCGCATCTGGATCCTCGGCTCGGCCTCTTGGGCGGAAAGGACGGGCTCGAGCGGCTCGAGGTGGCAGGAAACCGATTCAAGGTTCCCAAGTGGAACATCCTGGAGAAGGGAACCGCGGCCACGATGAGGTGGCTCCGAGGCCGAGTTCCCGCTGCCGAGATGGAAGCGTGGAGAGCTGAGAACGGGGACGACGACTCGTCTGACGTGGACTAAGGCTTGGTGGGTAATTTTTTGGTCTTTGCTTTGCTGATTTCTGCTTTTTTCACTTTACAGCAAGGTCATGTACTATCTTTCTGCTACTTATTTATTTATTTTTGGCCTGCCCTGGAAGGGGGCGGACCTGTATATTATCACATTGGAGGACCGATTGCGCATACAGGTAGAATGATGTATGGAGTATGGGTGCTAGGGAAATGGTAGTATAGATACCACTCGGGCTTGCAGCAAGGCACAGGCAATACCTTATTGAATAATTAGTATTGAATAATTAGTAATGTGTATATACTTGTAGCCATTTGGTTGAGTACATGCCGGTGAGTTGTGTCAAGGTGCCATGGAATGTGGACATTCAACTGCCTCACTATTCACAGTTGAGTAGGCACAATGGAGTGCGTTTTTTTTTCTTTTACTACAAGGAAAGACTGGCCAAGAAGATATGCTTGTGTTTCTCCTGGGTTGCGGTTGACCTTCGCTACAGATGCGTGTGCGCGTAGGCAGTCAGTCTTTTTGTTATTTGCATCAGACAGACTTACCAGGGTCAACAGCATCAAACATTTCAATATCGTCGCCCACATACGTCAAAAGAGCTTCCAGGGCTTCCATATCCGTATCTATACTCGCATTTCGTTACAACACATTACCTTCATACGGTGACCTCGTCAACCACGAAGCTCATGGCACGCAGCAGCTCGAGAAAGATGTCAATGCCGCCATGCGTCGCCGGTCAGATGGACGCAGGCCCGTGCAGATTCAATCAAACCATCATCACGCACAACACAACAGAACGATGGGGTCCTCACATCATGCACCACATGACGACGGACGGCGAAGAATCAGTGTATGCTCCCAGGGCAATCATGAGAGTGCTGATCCCGATTTCGATCGCTGGGTGGTTGCTATTCGGGGTGATTTGCATCCTATGCATCAACGGCAAGGGGAAATCCGGCAGATGGGTTCCTGAGTGGTATCTTGATTCTCGGGGGACGAGGCGAGACAAGGCTTTGGTTTTGTTGTGGTGGATGGCAGTCATGGTGCTGTGGCCGGTGATACTGCCTGTGCTGCTGTTGAGGAAGGTGGCGAGGGTGGTGAAGCATTTTTTGGTTGGGAGGAAGAAGGATGCGAGAGTGTTTCATCCGAAGCGGGTTGTGGAAGAGGTTTGAGGGAGATGGGAATTGCTTGTGCGTGTAGAAGTTGGTTGGTGTTTTTTGGACTCTTGTGGATTACAGGGTAGGGGATGGTTGGATGGGGAGTGTGGATAGGGCACATTACTCTAGTGTATGAGGGTACATGGGGGACTGAGAATATACATAAGAGGAGTGCAGAGGGCATTAATTAGAGAAGGGGAATAGCAAGATGAAGCTGCAACATAATACGAGGCTGTTTGATACAAGTTGCAAAGCAAGTCGATAAATTACCCGTTGAGATTGAGATTTTGGCAAATGCACTGGGTGAATCTCGGTGTTGCGTCACTCCCTGACTAATTAGCGCATGAACCTTGACAGCCAGAGACGAGCCAGAAAAAAAATCAAAAAAAGAGAGAGAAAGAGAGAGAGAGGAAAAAAAAAGCTTCCCACCGGTTGCTGGGCCAGAGTCCGAGCCGGGTCTAGCGCCCGTTGCAAGCAGCCCAGCCAAAGCCAGCCTCTCGAGTTTTGTTTTTGCCGTGCCTGGTCGAGGAATGCAGTGCATGAATCTGACTGGTGCCAACTCCTACTCGTACTCACTGCAACCATTCAAGTGCCACCACCTCTTTTGACCCCCTTCAGCAGCCTCAGCCTCAACCTCAACCTCAACCTCAAACCCTCGACGCTGCAGACGACAATCTTGCGCAGATCCAGCCTCGGGCTCCGACACGGCACGACGCGATACCGGAAGACGCATTGACTGCTAGTCTGTTGCCGTCGCACGCTGGGCGCTTGTTGGTCGGATTGGCAGCTGGGCCCCCAAAGTTCACGGCTCACGACTCGCGGTTCACGGTTCACGGTTCACGGTTCCAAGTCACGAGGCCCCCGTTGGCAGTGTCTCTGTTTGCTCTGTTCGAAGGGCGAGTCGCACCAGGATCCACATCTCTCTCTCTCTCTCCCTTGGAGTCGCAGAGCTGAGCTTTGGGAGAGAAAGCAGAACGAAACAGAAGCAGACCAAAAGGCGCCTCGCCCACCGCTTGCTTTACTCGCTCGCTCTCGAGATATCTACATCTACATCTACGCATTTCCACTTGAAATACGGAATACGGGCCGCACTCTCTACGATGGCCTCTGATTCGGAGGTGGACGCTCCTCGCGTCAATGGCAATGTCGAGGACGCTGTCCTCGGTGGCCTCGACCCGTCGACCCCTCAAGAGCACGAGACGGGCGCTCATCCGCTGTCCCAAATCACGCTCCCGTCTACAGAAATGCCAGGATCGCCCATTGACGCAAACCAATCGTTCAAGACGGAGGTCATGGATGACCGACCAGCCATCACCGTGATTCCGTCATCGCTGACGCCGCCGCCGTCCACGCAGGTCGCGGCGAGCAACGGTGCCTCGAGGCGCACCTACTCCACCTCTCAACAGTCGGCCCTCTTCTCACCACCCGCCACCATACTCAACACGATGCGTGAGCGAGACATTGAGTCCGACTACACGCCGCCGGCACCCCACCGAGTGCTCGAGGCATCGGCCGAGGAGCTGCGCGCCATGCTGCAGACTTGCATCGCCGAGAACCAGAAGCTCAAGATGGAGGCAGCGCACCATAAGCTGCAGTATAACCTGCTGAGCCTGCAGGCGGACGAAGAATCCAAGCGCGCCGCGGTGGAGCACGACATGGTGCGCCGTGAAGTGGACGCCTTGCGGATGGCGGAGCATTCCCGACAGGCCAAGCGAGAGCTGAGCACCGTGTCCGAGTCAATACAGAACAAATACCTGCAGATGAAGATGTGGTACGAATCGGCAATGGAGGAGAACGAGGCGCTCAGCCGCAGGGTCAAGCTGGCCAAGAAGGTGATCCAGCAGAAGGAGGAAGAGACCATGACGCTGGCCGAGGAGCGCGAGATGCTGCTGAACCGGATCCGCGAGAACCGCGAGCACTTTCACATGCTGTGCAGCCCGGGCGGCATCTTTCACAACGCCCTGACGCCCAAGCAGGTCATCACATCGACGCCACTACAGCAGCAGCACCAGCAGCAACACCGCACGGCATCTCGCGCCCTGCACCGGGAAGAGACGGACGGACGGGAGCACGGGCTGTCGGCTCTGCTGGAAGCCATGAGCCAGAGCCAATCTCAAGAAAACAACGCGGCCACCATGGCCGCCACCAACAACAACAGCGCGCCGTCAACGCCAATGGTGATGGCTCGACCTGCCTCTCGACTGGTCAGACGGCACCAGCGCAACGCCCAATCCATGTCATCGCTCCCGACGACTCCCTCCAGCAGACTACGTGGAGACAACAGCGGCCTGCTACCGTCGGTGAACCTAGTGGCGCAGACGGAGCCGAGGTCTCGCTATTCGCAGCGACGATTCGTCCCCACGACACCCCCCTCCCAGAGACAGTCGCGGCGGAGAAGACGAGAGAGCACCATTTCGGCCGACGACAACGAGGAGCTTGCTCGACAGGCCATCGAATCGGCCAAGGCAGTACAATCACTGTCGACCCAAGATGCCCCGGAGGCGGTCCCGCTCAGCTCACAAGAGGATGACGAGCAAATCCAGGACAGCCAGGCGAGCCAGGCGGCGGCCGAGATGCTGCGCCGGCACCCCGGCCAGGGATACAAGGCGGCGTCATCCCGGGATGGCACGGCAGGACCGGCGGAGAAATCTGCGGCAATGCACGCCAAGCTCTTCGCCGGCAGTAAAACGGCGACCGGGGCTGAGAAGCGCAAACTGACGGCCGAGGGTGAGGCCGGAGCCGATGAGATGGAAAGTCCGCAGAAGAAGCTGAGGACAGGCGGAGCTGCGTCGGAAAGCCGCCGTGTTGGGCTGGGCATTCAATACGGACAATGAAAGAATCGATTGATATACAGGGACAAGAAAAAATTGGGTCGGATCTATCAGATTGAAGCGGTGTAATTTTGTGAGATGGTCTTCTTACACAATCACGGCCGGATGTGGGGGGGGGGTTGACATTGTGGGTTTGTTGTTTGCGTGTGCGTGCGTGTTTAACTGGATTTCTGGAATTCTTTTTTTTTCCCCTTCACGAATGATGAACAACCATTTGTTTTTTTTTATTTACTTTGGCTTGAGATGAGCCTTGGAAGGGTTTGGAGCGGCAAACAGAATGAGGCGGGACGGGGATCGTCGGACGGCATCGGCTAAGGGGGGGGGGGGAGCAAGCACAAGCTGGGATGAAACAGCACAGCACACAGCAAAGCACAACAAGGCGCGGGCCAGTTGATTTGGTTACAACATGTCGTATAAGAAGGACGTGATGTGAAGAAGTAAAATAGCAAATACAATTTGTCGTCGTCAATTGTCAAACAGATCAATGGAATTGAAGTTGGTTCAGAGAGGGGGATAAGAGCTTAGCCGGCAAGGCCCGGACAGACGCGGCAGCGCTGCCGGATACAAGTTCCGGACTTGTCCTATGAAATGCGCACTGTGCTCGTAGCAGGCATTGCGTGCAAACCGGGTAGAGGCACAGTGCGGAAACCCCATTGCCGACAGCAACTGCCAGTGCGGCGGATACGGGGGGGAAGAAGAGCTAGAAAAATACATGTAGTATAGGGGATCCACAGAGGGGGAGAGCCGGAGCCGGGGAGATTGTAGAGTTTGTAAAAGAAGGACGATGGCAATTTGTTTATTATATGGTGATTGGTAAGGATGGGTGATTTATTTATGAGCAGTTGGGCGGTAGTTTGGGAATTCATTACTCCTTTTTTCCTTTTGGCGTGAGAGTTTAGTCTTTAATCTCTCCTTGTTTTATTATTCATCACTACATGATACTTCTCATCTCATCTCTTCTTATACCTACCTTAGTATTCTTCTATTGTCATATATACACATCCGCAGAGTGAACAAGTGAGTGAGTGAGCAACCCAGTTGAGAGGAACATCAATCACATCACATAAAACAAACCACCAACACGGACATCATGTCGTCCAAAGGCCTCGCCGCCGTGCTCTCCAAAGCTCCCTCCGACATCGTCATCCTCTCCTCCCTCCGCACCCCCATCTGCCGCTCCTACAAGGGCCACCTCAAGGACGCCTACCCCGAGGAACTTCTCTCCGCCGTCCTCAAGGCCACCCGCCTCGCCGTGCCCGACCTGGACCCGGCGCTCGTCGACGACGTCGGCGTCGGCGTCGTGCTGTCCGAGCTGGGCGGCTCCAAGGCGGGCCGCATGGCGCTCAACCACGCCGGGTATCCGAACAGCACGAGCTTGTTCACGGCGAACCGCGCGTGTGCGTCTTCGCTGCAGAGCATTGCGCTGGTGGCGGCGGAGATCCAGAGCGGCATGGCGGATGTGGGCGTTGGGGCGGGCATGGAGAGCATGACGCGGAACTACGGGAGCAAGGCTGTTCCGGTGGATGTCTGGCCTGCGTTGAGGGATTCCGAGACGAAGCGGGTGAGGGATTGCGTCATGCCCATGGGGTTGACGTCGGAGAATGTCGCGGAGCGGTACGGCGTGGACCGCGGGATTCAGGACCAGGTCGCCGCGGAATCGCATGCGAGGGCGGCGCGGGCGAGAGACGCGGGCTGGTTCGACTCGCAGATTGTTCCCGTCACGACGCGATTTCAGGAGGTGGACAAGCAGGGCAACGCCGTGGGCGAGGAGCGGCAAGTCACGGTGACTCGCGACGACGGCATTCGCGCGGGCGTCACGGCCGAGGCGCTGGCCAAGCTGAAGCCGGCGTTCAAGCCCGACGGGAAGAGCACCGCGGGCAACTCGAGCCAGATCTCGGACGGCGCGGCGGCGACGCTGCTGATGCGCCGGAGCACCGCCACGGAGCTCGGCCTGGGCGGGAACATCATGGGCAAGTTTGTCGGCGCGGCGACGGCCGGGTGTGACCCCGACGAGATGGGCGTCGGGCCGGCGCTGGCGATCCCGAAGCTGCTGAACCGATTGGGGTTGAAGAAGGAGGACGTCGACCGGTGGGAGATTAACGAGGCGTTTGCGAGCCAGGTCGTGTATTGTTTACGAGAGCTGGGATTGATGGAGGCGTGGGAGAGGGGGAGGGTGAATCCTGACGGAGGGGCGATTGCGCTGGGACACCCGCTCGGGGCGACGGGGGCGAGGATGACGAGCACGTTGATGCATGGGCTGGGGAGGGAGGGGGGTCAGGTTGGTGTTGTGAGTATGTGTGTTGGGACGGGGATGGGCATGGCGGGATTGTTTGTGAGGGAGTAGATTGATTTGTTGTATATAGATGTATATGATGTTGATATTCATAATCGTAAACTAGACATTCTGTGGATGAATTTTCAGACTTGCCCCTTTTCACTACGTAGATGGAAACCTTGGCCCCTTTATTTCATCAAACTTGTACTCTCTTCTCAATGGGTGTATCTTCCGACATGCGGCGAAATCCTCTCACAAGTCCCGTCATAGGATCCCGTTCAATGCCTCCTCCTCTGACGACGCCTTTCCTGCCCGCAGCCTCTAGCTTCATCAGCCCCATCCGCACTCTCACATAGTCGCCAAAGAACTCGTGCGCTCGAACATCAGCTGCTCCCCTCAGGATGCCGTGTCCCAACGTAACACCCCAGGTATCGGCAACGCGAATGGCATGAGCATCTGGTCTCCTATCGGGCTGCAGCAAGACAGAGTAGATGAAGCCGGTGTAAAGCACCGGAATGTCCGACATGTTGGCCGGAAAGTCCCAGTTCCTGCCGTCCATGGACAGGGGGTGCCACGGTGTGACGAGCAGCGAGCCGATCCGGTAGAGCACCTCGCTCGACACCTTTGTCTTGAGGACCATGGCCACCTTTCTCGGCCCGAGAGGCGTGCGCACCCGGATCCCGCTCTTGAGCTTTCTGATTTCTGTCATCTTGCCCGAAGCTAGTTCCACGGTGGTCGAGCCCGCGAAGCACACGCCAGAGGAGTTCCGGTACCTGGCCATGGTTGTATGAGAGGTGGTGCTGCTGCTGTTGACTCTGCCCCTGTTACGCAAAATGACCCGGGATGGCTCAGGGGCCGGAATGTTGTCAAAGGCATTGTCCAAGCGATCACGACAAGCGATGAACAGTGGGCTCTGAGAGCCGAATTGAAGCGGTGTCGCATCCTTGAACGAGTTGCAGATTTGCCGGCTGAGGGCATTGACATACGATGGCAAAAAGTGCCGGCCCCATTTGACAAAGAATTCCGGCGTCGATAGGGCGATGCTGATCTGACCTCTGGGCTCTGCGCCTTTGAGATCATCCATCAGAGCCTTGTTCAGATCGTCGGTAAGTTCGCGGCCGGGCAGAGACTCGATGAGCGTTGCTAGCTGTTGTCGATGTTCGGTTTGCTCGTTTACTGCTGTCAGTGCTCTGTATTCTCCATCCGATGCGAGTGGGAACAGAGACGAGATGAATTTGCAGACGAGTGCTCGTGATTCATGGAATACCACTTCTTTATCGGTGAGGGTCACCACGCCACGGGCATCGTCACCGAGGCGTGTCGAGACCAATCCTGGTGATGGCTTCTCAGTCTCCTCGTACTTGAGAGTGGCTTCGACTAAGGCCTGCTTTTCCTGTGCGTCACCCTTGAAGCGGAGCCAAAGGTCTCGTGACTGTCCGTACTGGATGTTTCCCAAGGAAATGGTCAACTCCTTCTGCCCATTGCCAATATCAACCGGAGCATGCTTGTCGACAGTATCAACAACTGTCTCCTCAATCTCAAGTGTGGCCGCGTATTTCAGCTTCAACGAAGCCTTTGTTGCAAAGGTGGATTGTAAGTTGGCGATGGCATGGACAAAGACGGTTCCGATCATGCCAGCATCGGGAATGAAGGCGTAATTGCCGCCGCTGAACTCGGCAATGGACTTTAGCAGCCCGGATCGAAGGCTGTACCCGAAGCCAAACGTGTGAATGGTGGCGGGCAAAGGAGGCATGGACTTTAGCTTCGGAATGTAGCCCTTTGAAGGACACATGTGGTTTGGCTCTCCGTCGGTCAAGACCATCATGGCTGGCACGCGATGGCTGTCTTGCTCCTTGTTGAAGAGCTTAATTGCATCCAGCATACCGTGCCAGAGATTGGTCGAGCCCATTGGTTTCAGGGCCTTGACTCTTTTGCGAGCCTCTTCCTTGTTGGTGTCTGTCATGGGCTCAAGCCACTGCACCACCTTGGATTCAGTCTCAAACGTCACAATGCCGAGACGATCTCTCTCATCCATTGTCTCGATGATGGTGAATGCTGCGTGCTTGGTCAAATCCAAGACGGAAAGACCAGTTTCTTCTGCGCCTTCACCAGGCACAGGAGCAGCTGAGCACATGCTCCCAGATACGTCAATCACTAGGACGACGTCGCAGGCCACATGGCTAATAGGCCTTGAGGGTTCCTTGGGAGGCTGTATCTTGACAAAGAGAGCATCCTTGGAAGCAATGTGATGGAGTTGAAGGTCAACAGGGCTGGCGTGAGCGTCATAAGGAGGCAGATCCGCTACCCCTTGCTTGGGCTTCTCCTCACGGATGGGCAGTTGCTCGTGCTGGGCGTGAACAACCGGAACGCCAGCATCCGGATTCTGTTTGTTGAGATTGGTCATGGCTGCGAGGTTCTTCAGAGGTGTCTATCCGCAGAATCTCGCTTGAAGTTGAGATAAAATAGATGACACCATCCAAAGGGAGGTGAGGGGAGGTAAGACGAGCGGAAACGCTGCAGAGACTCGACCAATGAGACAGCCGATGACGCCCTTCCAATGATGTTCAACTGAAGAACCCATCCTTTGTACTTATAATGCAGAGAGATGCAATGATTGTTCAGAGCCATCTCATCTTGGGGTTAGTAGACTTTGGCCGGCCTCAGCCGCACGAGCTTTGGGCTGGAGAACCTCCACTTCGGCATGCCTGCATTCGCATGGTGCGCTAAAAGTCGGTCTATCATTCACTTGCCGTCGGATTGATTCGCCCGTCTGAGGTTGGTAGAGTTTGGGCTACTCGTATATCGTCAAGGCATTGCTCATCGTGAGTTCATCTCTCAGCCTCGACACTCGAGAGCAAGTGCCATAACAAGCAGGTCCAACAATCTGCCAGAAAGGGACACCGGAAAGGAACGAAACAGCAATGCCGACAGGGGGGTCGATCTGCCGTAGAGCCTCTCGGCTGACGTTCCGTTTGCATATGAGCAATCGGTCCAATGGCGGAGGCTGAGTCACGCCTTGACACGGCAGATACGAGCAATTGCCAGTGCTGATGTCAACGGTAAGATGTGGGCTGGAGGTTTAGAGTTGAAGTTCTGCCTAGTGAAGACGCCTTAGACACAGCCACTACAACTAGGGGGGAAATGGCCTAAGCTGCAGCCACGCTTGCCCGCTAGAGGCCCCATGTGCAGTGCCTGGGAAGATTGTTACAGCGCTATGGAGCACACAGGGGGATTTAATGCTGATGCCTGGGCCAAGATGCTGCGATGGATTCAATTTGTCAATGTCGATTAAGGGTTTGTTTGACAGCCATCGCCGACGCATTGACTCAAGCGGCCAAAGGCTCACTGCTCCGCATGCCGGCAGATGTGGTGAATTGTCTGTTGCCGGCTATCTGCTGCTGGGTTGTGAACCTGGCTGTTGGCTGTTGGTAGTGACATACGGCAATGGATGGAAATGGACGTAGGGGCGGAGCAGAATGTGTAGATGGAGATTAATGGAGTTGATGTGAACTATACAGTAAGTTGAGTTGGATGGAATAGAAGGAGATTGCTACGGTATATTGATATGGCCACTCATGTAGGCATATGAAGATGGATCGACTGGGTGTGGCAACTCATCTTGTGACAACTCATCTCACGGCAGCATGCATTAAGAAAGCATACAAAACCCCAAGTAACACGGCCATCTCATACAAAAAACAGGGAAATGCAGCATCGTGAATTGACAACTCAGAAGCAATCGTCCGTTGACCGACTTTCCAATTACGCGTTCTTGGTCTGCCTTGAAAATATCATGAATAACACCCAAGTCTACAAAATACATGTCTATGTAGCCGTCTATATAAACTCTCGATGCCCTCGCTGTCTTCTCTCCATTCTTCACTAACCCACAGAACTCGTGCTCTTACACTTCACTTATAGACACAAGCACAGAAAACACAATAGACATGGGTGTTTTTCATCGTTGACTCTCTTCACTACTACTCAGCATGCAGCATCATCATTCATGCTTACACCAATCCAACTACTGAAAACCGACTCGGTAATCTTTCGACTACGTGAAGCGTGTTGGAACGTGACTTGACTTTCGGGCCAGATGACTACCCAACAAGTGTCAAGATCCATGGGATCGGAAACGAGATTGCTGGTGCTATTCAACAGCGAGGTAATACCGCTCATGGCCCAAGTGATTTTTGCGAGTAAGGGCTTGGTCCATTCATAGGCTGCATCCCCACCCAAGAGATACAGTATGGACGTTGTGGTAACTGCATACGCACACAAAATAAACGCAGCAATGCGGATGGTAAGCTGTGTCTTCGTTTCCGATTTCCTCGGCAGTCTCAAGCTGACCACTTCGGTACTCTAGATGGCAAAGAAGAATTTCGAATCGGAAAACATGGGGACAGACACAGCCTCAGACCAGATTTTTCACATCAAGGCCATGTCTGCTACAGCTTCACCGCGACTTAGACGACTCTCCAAGCCACCAAGCGGGAGGTCGTCTGCGACTTTGTTCGAACAGAGAAACCAGGCTTCTTAGTGGGAGCGCCTGGCAATCATGACCACCAAAGCACAGGGTCTGACCAAACTTGTTGGCAAGACAAACGTCATCAAAGGTAAAGACACACGATCCCTCCATAGCCCCCACGGCTATCTCAAGAACCGAGATGCCATCATCACTGTCACACCATGTCTCCAGATCCATCAAACAAATGCTAACGACTGAGCACAAGAAACTATTACAATCATTCCACACCTCAGAATCCACGGGACTCTCTATTACCGCCATGTCCACGAATGAGAGAGGCACCTGGCAGGACTTTTTCCCATACCACCAGCTATGATCCTCCCTGAACCATTCTTTCTTCTTTGGGTGCGTGCGGAACCTGAAGAGCCAAATCCATCTTGGCTGCTTGGAGAAACCGGCCGACTAAGAGGCAATGCATCTTGTTCAACATTATGCATCGTCTACGCCATGACAGCTACCCCAGTGCCTATTGCTGGGCAGCGCATGCGGGACAAATACCTAGGCAAAACAGTCCATCAATCACTAAATGAGCTCTTTCACATTGCATATGGCTATAGAGCAGTCCTCTCTCCATTGGATACTTTTCCTACCTGCCTAACAACATACCAGCTCATACATCGGAGCTCACAAGATCTGCTTCATCTTCGTGAAGCCATTTGCCTGATGCTAGCAAAAAAGGAGCGAGACTATCAGAACGCAGATTGGAACCTCATGTCTAAGTATCTTCGATTCTACATCTGAATACGGCAAATTGGGTAAGACAACATCAGTTCCACTGCTCATGGTCCAAGCCCACACGTGCAATTACTAACTGAGTACCTAGAAGAGCTCCTCGGTACCAACACATGGTGCTGGGTAAAGGCGGAGATATGCTTTTACCAGATACTACCTTCTCATATTCGTGTTCGATGTCTCATTCAGGACTCCATAGATGAATCATGGAGGAGGGTAGCACTGGACACGCAAAGGTGATACCTGAAGAAGAGATCATGCGATATCGCGTGTTGGCACGATGCCAACATCTCACACGCGACCCTGCGGGGAGACTAAGGAGCAAAGCAATTGAAGAGACAGAATGTTTTTGCCCAATTTTGTGGTATTACGGGCAGGGAAGATGGCAACTTCACTCATCAATACTGCCCATCTGAATTGGACCCTTGATCGTGCAGTCAGTCATGGTCGAATACATCAACCAACACCGCGAATTCAAAGCCCACCTAAAGCAATTCAGACATGATAACTTAGATCGCTGAGGCAAGCCTGGGTCAGAGAGTTGGAGAGGCCATGGGCTTGCTTCAGGAACAACTGGAATGATAGATCGGGGACACACCCGTCGCGGACTCTAAGCTTTCCCAAAACATTCCCCCATTAGATGATGTCCATCGAGCCGCCTTCGCATCTGACAAGAAATAGGGCTCTATTTCTATCTGGCAAAACGAAGCTATCGAAAGAAGAAGAAGAGGAAGGAAAAACAACAGAAGACCTGTAGTCTTCTAGCAAACGGGCAACGGGGCAGTCGCGGCTTGCTACAGAGGAGGATCACGTGCAACGGCACGTGATTCTCAACAGAATCATTTGAGATACAACAGATCCGCACAGACGAGATAACGGCGGATAGCTTGACGAAGCCACTCCAGAAGACCACCCACGCGAGATTTATGAAGCTGCTGGGAATGGTTATGATAGACTAAAGGAAAGGAATTATTTGGATGTTATTTGGGAAGACAGGAAGGGACAGGAAGGTCTGGAAAAGCCGCAAACTGCACAGTTGTATTGGAAGGTTATGATGACTTTGTTCTTCTAGTTTGGCCGGGGCAGCGAGGCTTGAGGGGAGGTGTTGAGAATCACGTGTGGATCTACGTGATCTTACTTATGTTGTAAGCTGTGACTGCCCCGTTGGACGTTTATATAGAAGACTGGGTCTTCTGTTGTTTTCTTTCTTCTCCTTCTTCCTTTCTAGATAGCTTCATTTGCCTAGTTGGACATAGACCGCCATTTCTTGATAGATCAATATGGGGTCATACCGCTACCCTTCTAAGGCTGACTTGACGACGACGCGAGTCACATCTGTCTATCTAAAAGGACTCCCGAACTACTCAGCGCATTCTACCCCAAAGGAAGTGACCGATATGGTAACCCTGGGCGTTCCCACCATACATATGTACATGCAACGACACCCACCTCTCCATTTCCACTACAAGTTCAGAACGGGTGCTTTGTGACGAGCGTCACCTTGTAAAATGAAATAACACCACAACTCGCCAATCTTTGAAAAAGATTCCTCGCTAGGAATTAGTTGCAAGACACCCAAGGCTATCTAAATCTACTTTGGAGAGGTAGTTGGCCGTTTAGATACAACAAGACAGATCCGTCAGAGCACTCCAACCGGTATCGCATCGACATATTCTCCAAAACCAAGGAGAATGATTCTTTTCCAGGCATCGACCTGAAGAAAATGATGCCATTCAGCTTCCGGACGCCCAGCTGTCTGCCATCACAAAGCCGATGGGATAGTGATGATGCAAGCAGAACGCGAGAAGAACGCCATTCAAAATGGTGCTACATGGGCACACTTCTGGTTCATACGAGAGATGTTCGGACGGAAAGCATGTTCCAAACATGCAGGACCCAAAGACCCAGCAAGAAAGCACGCGTGGATTCTCGATGACGCACCAAGAGAAGTCATACCAGCCGACGTGACGGCGATCACCAAGAAGCATGACGGAATCTGCTGGGTATCAGGTAATTTACAACAACCCTTTGGAGTAACACTACGCGTATATCGTTAAGTACATGTTTGTTGTGTTCCGCATGTACATGTGTTTACCAAGGCTGTTCTAGAAACTTTAATGGGGCGAATTTGCGTAAACATTACACTAGATGAATCATACGTCCAAATACGCATGTCCTGAACACTGTGCTAAGCTTTATTCCTACTACTACAAATCCGGTGGCGTCTGTAAATTTGATACACGCACAAGTCAAAATGCTACAGTCAGTGGAAGAGCCGCCGTCTTCATTGCGAACGATCCGATTCACGAACCTTGGAGATCTGATCAGAGCGATCGATGCCGCACCAGGAGATGCATTGCGCGTCACCAGTTTGTTCAATCTCACCATGCCATATATTGCCTTCCTTCCTGACTTTCTCCTAGATGTGTCTCCTACGGTTTTCAAGGGGCTAGATGAAGGTTACGAGACGCACAAAATCCACCTCTCTGTCTACAATGAAGACTGTCAGTGTCTAATAATAACGGTTCCAACACAAGTGCACGAAGAACTTGGCGGGACGTTGTATGGAGAACTTTATCATCATATTGCTCTGATGGGTTTGGGACAAAGATGGGCTATTAAAGGACACGCGACTTTCCATAATACACGAAATCCCACCCGCAGCGCAGGGGCAAAACAAGCAGACTCGTCTGGGGGGCCGAGGGAAGGACGCCCTAGACCTAGGTTTCCAACTATTGTGTTTGATGCAGGATACTCCCAGACTTTGAGAGAGATGCGAGGCAAGGCGAGAGCTTGGTTCGCAGACTCGGATCACAATGTTAAGATTGTCATCTTGTCGAAACTTGTCCCAGACCAGCGCACATTAATCATCGAGAGGTGGGAAGAGAGACGAGACGAGGAGCTTGTGCAAGTCCCTGGCTGTCAGCAGAGAATTACAATCGCTGGAAGCTGGGCAAGTCCATCGGCCTACCAGGTTGTGGAAAGTGGTGACTTGATACTGAGTTTCCAGCTGTTGTTCCTACGGGATCCAGGCCCGGGAGAGGGCGATGTGATAATCCCTATCGCTTGGATAAAAGAACATGCGAAGCAAGTTTGGGAAACCTGGGATGAGGTTAATGAGGAATCGGGGGGATGGCTAGAAGGGAGGTGTAACGTGCTTGTGTCATAGTAATAGCAGCTGCTCATATTGATCTATCGCGTCCATGTCTGTCTACTACATCCATCTCCATCTACTATGTGAATCTCCATCTACTATGTATATCACCATCTACTACATCTGCCTTGATCCACTAAGTCTATCTATATCTACTGCGTCTATCCCGATCCACTAAATTCAGTATCATTCCAACTGGTGGCTATCCGAAGACGTAGCAGCAGCCACACATTCATCCCAAACCGATCCGCATAACCAATCCAAGTACCACCATCCGATTCTTCAACTCTCGACTATCCAACAACTTTCTCCTCCTATCCTCCCCAAAGCAATCAAGTTCTACCTCAACAAAGTCGCACCTCGACAACCGTGATTAGTGAACAAAAGTGGACCACCACAATCCTCCACGTTGCCAACAAATTCATCCGCCCCTGAAGCAATTCCCTCTTTCAGCTGCTGAGCTCATTAGATGATAAATATCAATCAGCTACTTTCTCCTTCTCTCATTGCCAACGTGCTGTTGTTCCGGCTTAGTGCAATCAACAGAACGTAGCTGCATGTATGTAGGATCCGTAGAAGCAAAGCCTCGGTCTTTTGTACTGCCGTGCATATTCACACCGCAGCTCACCTTTTCTAGGCGGTCAGAGTCATGACGATGCTATAAATCACTTGCTTATAATATAGCATAGTATCTGTCTTCTGAGTAAGGTCTTCAACGTACAAACACCAACGTCATCCTCGTCTTTCGGGTCGTCGCCCTCCAAAGAGACCATATTTTGCAATACTAGTACCAATCTTGACCGGGATAATTCTCCACTTCGGCACAGTCAGAATCCGACTGCCAGTTTTGGCGCGCTCAACGTTTTCCTTCTCTTCTCTTTCCCTTGGCCCATTTTAGTCGGGAGGAAACAGTCTGGTAGCTGATGAAATCCGACACTAGTCTGGCATATTGAGCCGTCCTTTGTTGGGGAAGTGACAACTGCAAGAGGCTTAATAGGTCGGAAGCGAAACACCACGCCGCACCGATTTGGAACGAAGCTCTTTTTCTACACGCATTAAGTGGGAATATTAAGCCTCACTTTTCTAAGAACAAGGCAGTTCTGATCAATTCACACGATACTCATAGAGGATAGTCTCGTGCGCATCCCTTCATCTTTAGTATAGCCGGCGTTGTTTTGCTTTGTATCTTCACATTCATCATGACGATGGCCCAAGACCAGCCAAGCCGGCGCACATATCGAGGCAACTGCCACTGCGGCAACTTCGTCTATGAAGTCGACCTCCCCAAACTAAAAAGCGTCGTGGAATGCGATTGCAGCTTCTGCAGCCGCACGGGAAACCTATACGTTTTGACAGACGAAGAGAGCAACTTTAGGATCGTCAAGGGAACCGAGGAGAGACTCAAATCGTACACATTCGGGTCGGGGAATAAGATTCACAAGGTATGAGAAGCCGGGAATGGACGATGGGCATCTGGAGGTTGCTAACTTCGTTACAGTTTTGTCCCAAATGCGCGACGAGTTTGCTTTCAAGGATGCCTAATGGCCCTCCACGCTTGAAATTGTTGCTGAATGTAAGTTGTGGCAAGGATCTAGCTCATATAGTCGTATTGCTCACAAGAACGGACAGACACGAGCCTTGCAGAATGTCGACGTGGATCCGTTGGGACGAAGAAAGTAAGTTATGCCGACAAGTACAGTTAGGGGAAGAGCGAAAAGTGACAGTAAGCAGCATCTTCAACTCCAAGATTGGAGCAGAGTATTTGCCTCCGGCGCACAAAGGAGAGATCCCGCCAAATGTCGAAGGCGGCCAGTTGTACACTGGAAGCTGTCACTGCGGTGCAGTTACCGTGGCTCTCTCATGCAAGCCATTAGATGAATCCAACGAAGGGGTGGTAATTGTATGCAACTGTAGCATCTGCACTCGGGTTAGTTGTGTCCTTCAATGTTCAAATTTGAATATTCATCTGCTCATCATTCTAAACCGGGACTCTAGAACGCATATATCTGGCTCTTCCCTAGGCCCGAAAACGTAGTCCTCTCAGGGTCCGAGGATGCCATTGGTCGTTACACGTTTGCAAATGGGCTGACGAGCAAAACCTTCTGCCGCACTTGTGGTATCAACATGACAAACCTCCGAAACCAACTCTCTCTCGACGAGGTACGAGCGCTGAGTAAGCATTCTCGTCAAGTCTATGGGAGAAACAAGGAGTCTCATCCGGTGAATGTGCGTGTCCTGCATGGGGTGGACGTGGGAAAGTTGAAAAAGGTGACGTTTGCGGGTGCGACAGTGATGCCATCGACGTATACAAATCCTTGAGAAGGGCGCTATTCACTATGAGACGAATTAATGTAATTACGCCTTATTCTTGCAGCATTTGCTCACCAGATGTGTTTAGCAAGGCTACTTCGAAATACAAGCTTCCATAAAGATTAGGAGGCACATTATGGGTTGGTTCGTAAGGCTAGCACCGGTTCTTGCGTGGCCCAATGATATTCGACAGGAATGATATTCGACGGGAAGAATCAGATCGAGCGTCCTTCTTCCCGGTTTAACTCCGAACATGAGTGGCACCTCCTTCATGAGCTTTGGGCTCGTATTAGAAGTTGGCCCCCCCAGCCGAGGCATCAACAGTCATCAAGAGGGGTCTCTCAAGGTCACATTTGAGCGCGCGCAACCCGCGTGGGATGAAAGGACTGAGGTCGGCGAATCATGCAAGCAGCGGTTTGCATCTGCGTCTGAAAGATGCCGATTAGCACTGCTTACTCGATGGCGGCGGCAAAGACCACAAGGCCAATGTCCCAATCGAGACTTCTTACAGCCTCTGACAGAGGGGCTTCGAGTGATATGTGATAAACTTGGACATCGCAGCACATGCAGGACAATTGGTTGGGCCCGAGATGCAGCAGACTCTACGGCAGCAGTCCACTTACACTTGCTCTTGCAGCGGCATTGTGGGCATCAACCCGCCACCATCGAAGCCAAGAATAGCTTGTCTGCCTGTGACCAGGGGCTTACCATGTCAATCAGCCGTAGTTGAGAGCTCCATCGCGAAACCTTGCAACATCGCCTTGTATGGTCCAAGTACCCGGACGGCGTCTTTGCTGCCAATGGTACTCGCCGCGTACGGGAACTCGTGATTTGCCACTCAGGAGGCACAGCTGCGCGGTGATCTGCCACTTGGGAAACATCCAAGCAAGAACGCTATTTCGGCGTCTGCAGTGACGTAGATTGGGAGACCAGGATCGCTTCCCCGGATTGCCCCGCTGGACTTGGAAATTTCCATGGCCGAGAATGGACACGCTACTGTACGCACCCCCTGGCACTCACACGATGACCAAGTTGGTGTTCCGAATAATTTCGACGGCGACAGACCACCACGACCGAATCTTGCGGGCGGGTTGGCTGAGTGCTGAGGCCGCATTCAGGCTCGGGTTGCAGACGTACAGTGGACGGGGTTTGCCACAACCACAGCCCCCTTGGCTCTCGTGACAAGACACGCCCAGAGTTTTGCCTTGGTTTGCGAGCATCCGTCATGGCTTCCGCCGGGTCGTCGATCCCTTCCATCTTGCCCAACGTTTGTGTTTCTTTCTTTCTGTTGGGTCTCTCTTCGTATGTATCGTGTTATGTACTGTACTTTCTTTTCTCTCTCGAGCTGGGTTGAGACCAATCTTGCTCGTACGGAATGACGAATGACGACCCCGTCGCCACCTGGTGCGTGAGAAAGGCAGCCCGGCTGAGACGGAAAAGGATTTAATATGACTCGACTCTGGCTGGGCTGGATTCGGCAGCACATACCGCACATGGGACTGAACGGACGGCAGGGAAATATTACCTGCCTGCATCGAGCTGCAGTCAGTCCCCGTAGCGCACGTCGTGAGTACGGGCAATATCCATCAGACCCAGACCCAGGCAATATGCAGCCATGCAGCATGCCTTAGCAGCCGCTCATCACCATTAAAGCCGTCCATCCATAGCAATTATCCCTGCCGCCACTTTGTCTGTGCTTGGAGCTTCCCCGCACGTCTCCTCGTACCGCTAGCAGGCCAGAAGGAAACCCTAAACTCTGACTATTCAGCCATTTTTCTGTGCCGCTTGGGGCGTGGGGGATTTGCCTGCCTGCCTGCTGATGGCCTCATTGCCGCCGGGTTTTGAGGAGTCATGCGATGCACAGGATTTTTGAGGGAGGAGAAAAACATCCCACGCTCTGACGATTTGTTATGTGCAATGTCGGGAAGAGTCGGGAAGCTTGAAGAGGCGAAAAAAGTTGCCAGAGGTTTGGCCGAGTCGGCGGCACTCCGGGGGATGGACGAGTTGACGAGGTACTTGTGACTTGACTTCCATTGTATTGTTTAACGACTCTTTCTCCCGCAGTAATACATACATACATTACATGGCAAAACATCTACCTAAACATCGACATCAATAAACGTCAAATCGAATTACCAAAAACATTCACCCCCCCCGTTAAGGGTCTTGGGCCTTTCTACTGCGAGATGGCCCTCCCGATGGCCCCGCGGCCCAATCATCATGCACCCCATGCCCTAGAGCAGATCGCCATCCCTGCTGGTGTCGCGCCACTCCAGCTAGCAGTATCGCCAATCCCACCTATGGCAGCTCTCCAATTGCCTGATGCGGCTCATGACAGATGGAAATGCGTCATCAGAACCCGATAAGTTTTTGTCTCGTCTCAGTTCCATCTGCCGGTTCTCGCCAATCAATCTCTCTCCGTTGGTGTTCCATCCATCCATCCACCTCCCTCAGCGGCTTTTCTCCTCCTCCTCCTCCTCCTCCTCCTCCTACATTTGGGGTCCCACCTGTTTCCGTGAAGCCACGGGTCACAGCTTAACATCCGAGGGCTGCCTGGCCAAGGCTTTTTTTCTGCAGAAGAACCTGTATGTGTACTTGTACTATGTTTCATGCGGCAAGCCAAGCCATGGACAGGTCTCATTGTGCCCCGTCCCGTACGTACTAACCAATGTCTTAGTCGTGCTAGGACTAATACCTTGATGTAAGAGCCGTAACCATGGATTGAACATGCTTCCCATTTTGCCGTTGCAGTTTTTAGCCTGCCCACCCCATCTCAGACACTTTGTTTGAACTATAATAAGTTGTTGCTCCTCCTCTTCCCCATCCTCTTCCTCACTTCTTTTGCTCTCTACGCACTCTACACTCTACACTCCCTTCAGAACAAACATCACAACTTATTCCAACAAGGCAGACCTCTCGCCATAAGCCCCTTCACTACAACTTCAAACAAACCTCCACTTCAGCAAACATGCCCGCCTACGAGTACTGTTGCCAATGCGGTGGCATGATTGTCATCAGCACGACCTGCACTGGATGCGGCCACAAGCAGTGCTCCCACTGCCCCATGTGCTAATTGCTTTACAAAAGGTTTGTCTCGACATCATCCTCATCATCCCGGATATCCCGACTGACGCCCTTGCCAGCACTCCACCAATACGAGTACACTACGCTTTATGAAACCCTATTCTAGTTGGCGTTGAGCATCGAAAGTTTTATTGTACACGACCAAAACGATTCTTTATGTCTTGGAGCAGAGCTCCTGTGCGATACCCTTTGCTATCTATTTTATTTCGACGAACGCTTCTTTTGGACTTTTCTTCTTCTTCGGTTCTACTTCTTCACCACCTCTTTATTTCTCCTTGGGTTATTGGGAATTCATGGGCTACGGAATGGTTGTTCGCGGGAACCTTGTATTATGATCATGGGCGGCAGATTGACGCTTTCTTATCTTCATCTCCACCGTCATGTACACGACTTGTTGGGGAAAATTTCACACCACCAACGTCATTTTCTTTTGTTTCTCCCCCCGCTGGAAAGCAAAAAATGAGCAGACATTCGAACGTACGGAAAAAAAGCCCGATGCTCCTTATACGTCAGGTTTACTTGATCGATTTACTGGGACAGATTGAATAGCTTAAGGAGATTATTTAAAAAAGAAACCAATCAAAAATTCAATACAAAAAAAAACACATTCAATTTGAAAAATCGTTACTCGTCAGTATACGTCAATCATGCCCCCCCGTCTTCACATCTATTTCTACAAAATCTCCCTGCCCTTAAAAGTCCCTAACCAGGAAAAAGGTCTTGCCCTCCACAGGCCGCTGCTTGAGCTTGAAGCCCTGCTTCTCGTAAAAAGGCAGCACTTTACCGTTATCCCCCGCCACTCCGATCCAAATACCCTTGCTCACACTGCCGTCCTTCTGCGGAACGTTCCTGATGCTCTCCACGAAACTGTTAATGAGCTGCTTCCCCCATCCTTTGCCCTGGAACTCATCCAGCAAATCAATGTGCATCGTCGCCTTATACTCCGCCAACAGATCGGCGTTGCCATCAACCAGCAACAACTGCGGGTTATACGCCAGCCGCGACAAAAACACCTCATTGATGCTCCCGTCCTCGAAGAACAGCGGCTCCTTGCGCTCTAGATCGTCGGGGCGCGTCACCTCCGTCGAGACGTCGAGCACCTCCTTCGTATACGAGTCGTAGGCGGCCACGAAGGCGGGAATGTCGGGACACCCGATACAGTAGCCCACGGGCCGGCCGGAGCCGTCATCGAGCACGAAGCACGTCGTCGGCGAGAGGTGCGTGTACTGGTGAGTCCAGCAATAGGGGGCGAGGCGACGGCCTGCCATGGAGGGACGGAGGGCAGGATTCAGCGTTTCGCGGCACTGTGAGGGAGAGAGGGGGCGAAAGAGTGTGAGAAACAAATTTCTTATTGATCACGAGGGAGATGAAAAGAAAAGTTAAGCATATGAGAGATGGGCGAAAAAGAATAAGGTGAGGACGAGGACGAGGGTGAGATTTTGCCATGGCGGGAAGCTTGCCGTCACCGTGAGATTTCGGCGTGAGCAAGTGACATTTGGGTTGCGAGTTTGTGGGGTAATAAGGGTATCTCTCTCTCACGAAAACACGGCACGGCAGACCAAAAAAAGAAGGTTTTTGGGACTCACAATGTGCGACATGCCCTCAAAGTCAGAGGGCTTATACGGCCGAATAAACGCCATGGCTGTCTGTTTGTTCTTATTTCTCCAAGTTCCAGGTTGTCTGGGAACGGGTGCTAGAATGAGGCTTAGCAAGAAGTCTCCAACCCCGCCTACGCCTCGAGATGGGCAATTACGCTCAATTGACCAAAGAGCATATGGGAACGAGACTCACCAAGATTTGCTGGACAAAAGACTCAAGACAGAAAGAGTGTGATATCAAGACTCCCCAAAAGATACCCGCAGTTGATAAAAAAGCAAAGAAACAGAAGCTGCACCTCGCAAAATAATATATCTTCGGAAAATCTA